CGCGCTGTATGTGGTTTTTATGCGGCCCAAGAGCCGCAAGATGCTCTATCGCACAATTTGCAAAGGCTGTTAAATAAGCAGATCCTTTCCTGCCTCTGGAGAGTCAGGTCAGCCCAAATGGCTTTGGTTTTGCCATTCATCTCAGTAGGAACAAAGTAGAGCTCATATGAGTGACATCATCTGGATTGCTGCAGCATGATACTTTGAAGGTCCAAACTCGCCTGTGTATCACCCTAATATCGCTGTTGAAGTTCCAAATTCACAGGTCCACTTTAAATTAAAATCATTCGCTGTTGAAGTTTTGCAATTGGGAAGAGTCTGTGGGCTGTCTTTCTCAGGGTCTTGGAATGATGAGGGATTATAACTAAAGGAAATAGGGTTTTTTCTGTGTCACTCAACTATGTTTGAAATAATTTAGGATAAGCATTAACTGTGTCTTCTCTGAGCTAAATATCAAGTTTGTCTTTGATAAGTGAGACTAAACCTTAAACCTTTTATAGATCACCCGTTTCCTTAAGGTCTTGCCAACATTTTGAAGTACTGCATTTTTTCTGGACTCGTGTCATGCATCATAGTTATTCATATTAATTACTCTGGCTCAAAGAGGCTGGATGCAGCACATCCGTAATAACTCGCCGTCTGCCTGTAGAAAACTGGGAGTATGAGTCTAGTTTCTGCTCTCCAGGTGAAAATGGATGTCCTTTACAGATTGGGGAAGCCATTTGCAAACCCATATGTGAAAGAAGCGTTACAAATTTTGTCATTGTACTCATACAGTTCAATTTTAAATGTGAATTCAAGTTATAAAGAGAATAAGGTTGACTTGTTATCTGAGGGTGTGTTTGAGCACATCACGTTCCCTAGGCCAAAGACCTTATTTATGGCCTATTTTTGCTGAACTTTAGAGCATCAAATAGTCTTAACTGAAGTCTTCCCTCCTGATTCACAGCAGCTCAAGGGAGGTGTGCCCTTCCAGGAGGACACCTAGCTTAGCAAAAATGGGAAATAAACATCGCTAATTACTCATATTCCAGTGACATCTGAAGTGGAGGTTTGATCTGTGAGCCACCATTACACCTCTCCAACGAGCCACAGTTGTTGAATTTCACTCCTTGTGAAATGTGAGTGGTGGGAATAAAGGAGTCTTTGTCAAAGATGTTCTGTTGTGGACGATCTCTCAGGGTTAAAACAGGCAGATATGGAGTGATTACATTTAGGAAAGGATCTAAGGCTTCTCTTTTAAGGGGGTACGAGGCTTCAAGGTCCTTTCCTGTATAAAGCAAATTGTCTCCAAACGTGTGATGGGGGTCACGGATCTCCCGGAGACTTCAGGGGAAGGCTTTTCACAGCTACCACCCACTACTGTAAAACAAGCTGTTCTCCATGTGAGATCCGTAGCTAAATGCTGTGTGAAGTAGTGGGGGGCTGCAGAGGGTGCAGCTATTTTGGTGCTGGATACTCATAGTACTTACTTGCAGGTGTAGTAACATGATGCCGAGCTGCACATTCCAGAGGGTGTTGGGTGGTGTTGGAGAAGGCTGTGCTGCCCCAGGTGTGGAGCTGTGCCCTTCCATGGTGGCTGCCTGTAATCTGTAAGATCCATGGTTTAGTTTCCTGGTTTTTGGATGTTCAAAAGTATCTTTAGTGTTAAAAATTGGAAATAGATTTAAAGAGTAAATATGAAGTGAGATACGTAGACAATTATTTTAATCTCATAGTTTTTGCTCTGTTTCCATAATTGCATAGTCAAACATTTATGCAACTGTTCAACTCCATGATAAAACACAAACGAGACCACACCCAGGTAGGTGGCCTGCTATCTCCAGGATGCTGTGGTCCTGTAAACACTGTAACCCTCCCAAATAAAGAGGTTTTAGACAACTTTATTATTTGAAAAATAGTTCAAAATTGATTCAAACTTCCATTGTCAGTAACAAAGGAGATGTAGTTTTGAGCAATGTATGATTGTCCTTATGGAGAAGTGAGAATATCGATTAATTTTCCCTTTCTGAAACAGAGAATTGACAAAAGGATTTTTAATCAAATGAAAATACTTTGCCAAAAAGTAGATTACTTAGTCAATAAGATGTGAGTGTACAAGGTTGTAACTTTGTAGAGGAAACTTACTGCTATTTCTTATAAGAGCTAGATTCTATTTGGGGTTTTAGTTGGGTTTGTGTTGGGGTTTTTTTGTGGTAAAATTATATTTTTAGGTGTTTTAACACTTCTCTGTACTGTAAATTCAGAAAGTGAAACTGGTCAGTTCCAGTGTTTTGGAGCCTGTTTAGCTTTGTCAGGCATCTTTTAAAGAATGTATTTATAAAGACTTAAACATAAGTTGTAAACACTAGAGAATCACGGTTTAGTTATTTCAGTAGACTTTTGTTTTTATTTGTGAATTTAGTAGCATTTTGGGCTTGATGCAGAACTTACTGAAGTCAATATGAGCTCTTACACTTATTCCCATATTCTAGGACGGTACTCTTACAAATATTTGCCTTCACTGCATTTTCCTATCTGACTTGTTTATTTAGAGAAGTCCCAAAACTTGAAAGATGCATGGATAAAATGGTTGCAGGGTTTTTGAAAGACTTAACGGCATTTTAAGCTGATGCTGCTTTTCTTTTTAATTTCAAAATTTAATTTTTTATTTGAACAGCACAAACGATTACACAATATTGAAAATAACAATTTCAAATCCTTAATCATTGTATATGAGGTAGTATGGACTTTTATGACTACCTTCAGCATTATATACTTGAAGATCAGATACCACCTCTGGAACAATGTTTTATCCATTTCATGTGCTGTGTATAACATTTTCTCTGAACATTTCCAAACTACAAACATCATTTCTCAAGAGAGCCCCGTGAAGTAAGACCTTTGAGTTTTGTAAGTGGGGAAACCAATGCAGCAAGGTCACACACAAGGTTGATAACAGAGTGGGGAATGAAGACTGATTGAAATTCTTACTGCAGCCTTCTACCCTTTATTTACGCTCCTCCTGTGCTCCTTTAATTATGTTACTTGACAAAATTAAGGGGTGGAGGACAAGAAAGGGTATTAATCCATTTACTGTCTGCCTAGACTCTTAAGTATTATTTTGAAATAAATATCTGGATTGTATCCTTTTACCTCATAAGGTAGTTTTTGTTCCTTTGGAGTTGCGCAAACCCATGTTAAATGTAATGTTAACTTTAATCTGTGCTGCTTGAAAGTATTTAGTTAGCTCGTTCGCTTTCTTTACCGTAGATTTATGCTGTAGTTGTGGCTGCCTCCATGGCTCTAAAGCAGTTAAATCTTTATTATGGGCTTTGGGAGTTGCCAGAAGAAAAAAACTGAAACAACCTCCCCTCACACCCTTAGATTGTGAATGGTTAAGCTCTTACCACTCCTGAATGACTTGTGTAGTGTTGTGATTGTGGGGACAGTAGTGTGGAAAAAAAAAGCTTTTTGTAAATAAGTCTGACACGGAACTGATTCATTTGGAGTGACAAATGAAATCTTAAACGCTTCTAGTATAAGAAAAGTAATTTCTCATATAAATTGGGATCTGTCATAAGTGCATGGTTCACTTAGCACGTGCCCTGCTTAAGTGGCTTGGTTGTCCATGACCTTTGCAGTCCTGCCTGCATGTGAGGGATGGAACTGCTGGGTTTATCCTGTCTGTCCCTGGCTCAGCTGTCAGCTCCAGCCACAGGAGAAGGGCAGGATAGAGCCCTGACACACTCCAGTAATTTACCACTTCTCTGATTTTGGAAGTGATTTCCTGCAAAGGCCTCACATGTCAGTTTAATGGCCTCGATAACTTCTGGCTTGTTTAGTGTCTTCTTATTTAATTCCCTCTCTCCCGTGGTGGACTTGAGGGGAAATGAGGAGCTATTTGCATGTTTATTTTAAACTTATTGTTGCTTGCATACAAAGTTTTACAATTTTGTAATGATCTCTGTATGGGATTCTTCCTTTTCTTAGTTCAGCATCCAGTTTTTTAACCTGAATCTAACTATAAGATGGAGGCGTTTAATTTTCCAGAAATGTGAAGCCACGCTTTTCTAATTTGTTTTAATAGCTTAATGACATACCTGAATTATAGAGTCACAGTCCTCCCTTTTTTTGTGTTTCTGGACAGTTGTTCTCTGGGCCAGCAACAGTGTAATGCTTTGTCTGAACCCAGGATAAAAGTTCCTGCATGGAATCTGCACTCTCGCTGAGACATAATGGGGGGGAGATTTCTATCATATGCGTAATGTTTTTATATAGCAGCTAGAAAATAATCTAAACCCGTTTTCCTTTCCTTGTTTTAGAGTGAAGGCACTTGTGATAATGCCTATTTGTGCATGTTTACTCATGCTTAAATACTTACTGCTGAATTAGTTTATTTTGTTCCCAATGTTTGATGTGTTACATCTAGTATGGAGTGGAATTTATCCCTTTTACATGCTGTGGAGTAGTAGTTTGCCAGGACTTCACAGTTCTGTGTGTGATGAGAGAGAGCAGCAAAACTGTTTGGAGCAAGTTACTTCCCTGACCCTGTTGGGGCAGAGTCAGTCTGAGATCAGTCAGGCTCTCCCTGAGCTGCTGCTTTGTGCAGGAGCGCTGGAGGGAAGGCACTGGGGGGATTTGCACTTGCGGTGAGGTTAAAGCATCACTTAGAGCTGCGATAATAAAGCTTATTTTCTCGTGAATATTTTGGTTTGCTCTTTATCCCTATAAATATGATTCATGGGATTATTTTTGTGTGGCTTTTATATGTTTTTCTGCTTTAAGGATATAGGATAATCCTCTTAACTCTTTAAAAAAAAACCCACCCAAACTGTCTATGACATTGCATAAATGTAGCAGCAGTAGAATTTGGGGATTAATCCATGGGTCTAGACTGGATAGTAAGTTTTAGTGTCATGAAGACTGTGTTGGGCATCAATTCAGTGTCCAAGACTCCAAGGTTAAACTTCCGTGTTTGGAGCATGTTCTTGCTTTTGTGGGTGCGGTGGGTGGGAATGTAAATGTTCGTTTTCTGATGCATGGCTCTTATGTGATTTTTGTTTCCTGTGCATTTGGAAATCTCATTTTCCTTCGAGTTTATCACTGTGCTGAGTTTATGCAAGAACTTATTGCAAGTATTAAATCTGTCAGTCAGATGCAGAAACATTTGATCCAATATGAACATAGAGATATTTTAGGGGGAAAAAACCTTAACCCGAAAAAAAAAATAGACAGTACAGCACTTGTAGCAGGAAAACTGGTGGTTTTTGTTTTCCAGTCTGTAGTGCCTTTGCTTGTAGTTGGTGGTTTTATCGTAGTAATGCCCAGCCTAATTTTGCAAGGTGCCTGCACTCATTGCAGAGCTGAGCACTGTCAGAGTACACAAGTGCTGCTGTATAAGCAACATTTTTCCTAACCTATGCAGCCACCAGGCATGTGCTGCATTTTTGAAAGCACTGGGAAACTTCCATGTTGACTGTGGATGACTTTTGAATTTGTATTCAGTTAAGTTCTCTTTAAAGATTAAACAGCGGAGTTAAACAGCAAAGGATTGTAATTGTTGTGGGGGAAATAAAAGTGAAACCGTGTGTTTCTTTTTAGCCCTTATGAAATACTCCAGGAAACAGTCCCTACACTAGGGTTTATAAATAATTTTAAATAGAAAAATGCTGAAATACTTGTTTTGGTGATACCTGGATCACTAACTGATTAAAAATGGTTTGACTGTTGCAGAAAGATACCTTGTTCAAGAGTGACACAGCTATAAAGAGAGGACTCTAAATGTGTACTGTGAGCTTTGAGGTACCAAAGAGAGGGAAAGCTGAATCTTCTCAAGTCACTGGTCTGAACAAGGCTTGTTTGGGTTAGATTGATATTTTTCTGGGTTTGGATCAATTTAAGCTGGTCATGCAGGAATTTGTTTTGTTTTCAGTTGAAATAATTGGCCTGTTCAGTGATTTTTATCTGTGTTCAAAACTGTTATGAAATAGTTTTTCCAAATCACTGTTCTCCTTCAGACAAGTCCTTAGATGCATTTTATTTCTGCACCTCACAGTGTTATCAATGGTCTGTTACCAAAGCCACTGATTTACATTTGAAATAGAAAACCATTTTAAAATGTACTTTTTTAATGCTTTTGCTTCGTTGTATCTCTAATCCTGTTAATAACAAGGCATTTTTGTGTTTTCTTGACAAAAAAATAAGCTTTTTAATATTTTGTTGTAGAGAATTTCACTTTTTACAGGTGCAAAATTTTATTTCTTATTTGTGTGGGTTGCCACCACTACAACCTCAAGCTGCTTTAACATTAAAGAAACCCACACTGACCTCTAAGCATCTTGAAAAATAAATATGAACATCTTGCTTAATACAGTTATTAACTTACACTTAACACTTTACTTTGCTTTTCAGGAGCTTGAAGAAATCCGCAAATGTGGAATGAAAAACTTCCGTAATATCCAGGTTGATGAAGCTAATTTATTGACCTGGCAAGGGCTCATTGTTCCTGTGAGTATAGGTTACTCCTTATTCTTATGAACTTTAAAATGAGGATCATTTGTATGTCATAAATCTACAGTTTAGTAGTGCGGCTGATGACCATGAAATAATTCCTGCACCCTGACAAGGATATCTTCTTTATTATTATAAAACCTATCCTTCACAGTTGTGCATTTGGGCAGCAGCTGGTTGTTAATAAATACAAGGTGAGTTTACACAGGTGATACTGCAGCATCTGAAATGTGCTCCTGGTTTTAAATCTTGTCTCTCTTCAGACACCCTGTGTAATCTGGGGCAAAGAGCATAATCTTCCTGTCTCATTTGAGTGTCTTCTGTGGTTTGTTTTATCCAAGTCTGATAAATGTTACTTTGTGTTTGTTATAACTAGCCTGAAGAAAAATCCTTCTGTAACTGCAAGGTGTTCTACTCCTGATCCATCCCTGGATGCTGCATTATTGTAGGCCTGGTCCAACACTGGAGCTCAGTGGTGGCACTGAGTGTTGGAAGAGGGAAGCAAATGACCTTTTATTTTATATTAATTTTTTACATTTTGTTTTTACATTGAATTTTTTTTACATTAAGCTTAAAATACAAAATCTACATCAACATAAATAATAATTAAAGAAAATATGAAATACTTTTACTCCCTAGTATTTTTTTTATAATTGACTAGATTTATTTCTAGGATAAAATTGAGTATTGGAAAAAGTTTGATGCAAGGAAAGGGTTTGTATTTTCAGAAGCGAACTCTTTAAAAGAAAATGTCTTTATTTAGGCATTAGTTAGTGCCAAAAAAATTAATTTTATAAGCACTACAGTCTTCTAGTGGAGAATGTTTCGTCTAAGTAGATAACCACTGTGTTAGTCAAATAGAGAGGGATTTATTACTAAGGAGAAAGCAGGAAATCTGCTGTGTTGAATTCCTTGGTCGGAAGTCCCTTGGATTTTCACCTCTTGTTTCCCTGCTGTGACTGTAGCAGCGGGAAATGCCTCCCTTGGTTCTATGAGTTGCTTCTAAGCCTGCAGCAACTGGGGCTGTGCCGCTGGGGCAGCAGTTCTGCTTTTCTGTGGATGCTGCCAAAAAGCCCCTCCAGCCAGTGGAAGTCTATCTTTTTAATATATACATAAGACTTTGAGACACCTCTATAGTGATGCCTCTGCCTTTTAACTTGGATGCTGTTCTGGAATTCACAAGGCACAGGCTGGGATAACGGCTGGGCCTTTGTGCTTTAAATGCTGTAGAACACATTTAGTTACTGTTTACTTATGTGCCTGCAAGTGATTCCTTGGAGTGGTTGACACTACTCTTGCAAATAAAGCAAGCGGGATCTGACACTGAAATTTGACAGAACTGAGAAACAACTGCTTTAATCAGCCACTCTGGTGTTTGTGGTTCGGGCATAACAGTTTAGTGCTTTGATAATATTTTGAAGCAGTGTAAGGTTGGTAAACTAATGTGACTAATAAAGCAAAACACAAAAATACTTGCTTTTCCTGTTAAATTAGGAATGTGTGGTGTACAGCAGCTATTTTTAACAGTTTCTGCTCACCAGAGTATGAGTGTAGTTGTTTGTTTTGCGAAGATTCAAAGCATCACAAATCTTTAAATGTTGATGAAGTTAACTGTGCTCCAGACCTGCCTTTTGGTTTGTAATATGCCCCGTTACAGGAGAAGTAGCCTTAAATTCACTGCTGGCGTAGTTAAGGGAGAATTTTGTAATTAAATTATACTTCCTATAGTAATTAATGTTGAGTATGCATTCAAAGAGTAGTATAGGTTTTTATTCTGAGGATACTTTATAGGAGATGTTTTAGTCTTCACACCTCTTCAGCTATTTTGGTACTAGAGTTGATGGCTCAAAAATGCAACACACGAACTGGTTGCAAGTTTTGGGTTTTTTTCTCTGAGTATTTGCTTTTGAAATTTCACATGCTGTTTGCATTTAGAAAATGTTCTTGCTTAAGGTTTAATGAAGTATGCTTCAGTAGGAGTAACCAGTTACTGATTATTAAACTCTGTAACTGGGCATTACTTTGGTCAGCTGCTTAATAAAGGTGTGAAAGATAAAGGTTAATATTTTTGTGTTCATACAGAATTAATGTGAAAGATAATGTAAAGGTGAACTGTAAAGCTTTAGAAGCTTTTGTTTCTAACATATTTTACTCTTTGGAACAACTATTAGTTTCAAAGGGTGTTCACTCAATTGAGAAGCAAATTGAAGGTACCTGGTCAACTTCTTTTCCTGTTCTGAACTGTAGAATAAGGTAATTTGTGTACTGTGGGTGGCCAAGGTATGTTATTTGTTTGATTTCAATGTCAAAACAAGATTATCTCTACCCCAGGCTCCTTATTCTTGTAACAGGTACTGATGGTGTACCATGAATTTCATTTCACTTAATCAAAACTGCTGACTATGGACAAACTTTTACAGAGTTTGCAGGAGAATGCAAGTCGTGTTTTGGTGTTTAAAATTCTATTTCTCTTGTCAGTGTCAAAATAAATATAACAAATAATTAGAAATTAATTGCTTGAATAGTCTACATACACTTTTGTTTCAATGCATTGGTCAGGTACAGTGAAGAAAATGGATGTTTTTAAGGCAGGTCACTTCCCGTGTCAGTTCACTGAATATCCTCACAAATTAGAGCTTGTGATGGAGGCAAGGACAAGTGAGCTGTGGGGGGAGAGAGCACTGACTGCTTAAGTTGTCACCACCACCAAAAATTATTTGTTAAACTTCCAAAGCTTTTAGGATTGCTTCGGTAAAAAGTGATTTTAAAGGCACTGTAGTTACTTCTTCCCTTGGCTGCAGAAATTGTGCTGTATTTCTTACAAATGCACAACCAGATTCTCCATATGGATGAACTTAAATGTTTTCTGTTGACTAATATTTTAATACAACACTCCTTGCCCCCCAGTACTGGTAAATCCTGGAGGGGGTTGGCAGGGAATGGTCTGGTTGCTAATGAAGAATGTGTGTGATTATACTTTACACCAACTGGAAACTCTCATCCTTTGATTCATGTTCCCAGCGTGTTTGGAAAGGCTTCATTCCACAGTTACTGTTTTCAGTGCAGAACAGTATTTTCATAAGCTTTAAATGTAGCAATGGTTTATTTATTTTTCTTCTGCCTCCCTTCTGCAGTCAGTATCTGAAGCAGTATCAATTGTCTAACAGCTTTTCTAAGTGAGATTCTGGGCATTGTTTTTTCTGTTTCAGCATGGAGAACTTCACAGTTCTCTCTTCATGCTCCTTCAAAACTGATCTGATAAGAGTGGGTGCTAAAACTGCATACAAATTCAGAATGTTCTCATCAGCAGACGCGGTGAATATCTATCTTTAGTACCCATGAATGCTCAGCAGATTTTTGTGTAGTCAGCACAAAAACGTTCTCAGAACATTTAGGTAGATCTGACAAATCAAATTGCTTTGCTGCTGATGCCACCATGTTGTAAGACACACAAAATTAACTGTGTTCAGGAAACCTATTTCCCTTGTCAACCTTCCTGTTTGTGTCTTGGAAAGGGCTTACAATGTTTTTTGAAACACAGAGTTGGAATAAAACTACTTGTTAAATAGGGCCTTGAGTTGGGAGTAAATGGGGTTGGATGCTTTCTCACTAGTACAAGTGTCGGCCAGCTGCAGGACAATGGCAGTCTGCTTTTTCCAGGGTGGATGCAAACGTACAGGTTGTATTGCCTCTGTCCCCAAACAGGTTTTGGTGTTTCCTGACACACAGACATGGCAGTACACGTTGGAAGAAAGTGCCTTTCAAAAAGGTCATTTGATAGATCCAAGTCTGGAGCATGCTTTTTTCACTTGAGTCCATTAACATGTGCCATGTTCTTGACATTCCACCTTCTTATTGCAGGACAATCCTCCATATGATAAAGGAGCCTTCAGAATCGAAATCAACTTCCCAGCAGAATATCCATTCAAACCTCCTAAGATTACATTTAAAACAAAGATCTATCACCCTAACATCGATGAAAAGGGGCAGGTTTGTCTGCCAGTAATTAGTGCTGAAAACTGGAAGCCAGCAACCAAAACTGACCAAGGTAGGACTCCATGTGGAGAGAGAACTGGGTATGGAGAAACTTCGTAGTGTGTTTAAAGCTAATAATGTGTCAACTTGTTAGCTGCTGGTGCTCTTGGGGTTTATTTGTTCTAAGGCTTGTGTCATGAATCACATGAGGTATGCAAACCTTGTGGAATCTCATTTTGTTACTGGCATGTGAGGTGATGGCACGGACACGTGCAATTTCCATCTCCAGGAAACCACAAAACTCCTCATGACTGAAGAGTTTATGAAGGTGGTGTTCTTGGTATACTTGAAAATTTTGGTGGTAGTTTGTGTGGGGGTTATTGTGTTTTTCTTTTTAAAAAGTGACTTTAGAATCCAGAGGTGTTCAGTACATTTCTGGATGTTTGAAAGAAAGGGTCTGATACTTCAAGGCTTTGTATATTTTATAATCTGCCATGTGGTTCAGTGATTTGATATGGCTTGAAATATCAAGGGAGTCATAAACAAAACCTGAAATCATAACACAGATGTAGATCTAAAAAGATCACTGCTGTGAGGTTTACTGTGTACAGTGTCTTAGGATAAGAATTCAAATATTTTAAGGATAAAAGTTACATCAGGTTCTGTGGCCAACTGGGAGTGTGATTCAAGTAGGTTTTTTTCTGTTATTGAGGTGAGAATTTCCCATTTTCTGGCAGGTAATGATTAGTTTGATATTAAGCATTTATTTTTATACATATAGAAAGAGCAAACATCCTTGCAAAAAATGCTTATTTTTTTAAAAGTATTAATTCAGGTGAGTAACAGTTTATGGCAGTGCAAGAGCTTTGGTGACACTGAAGTATCTTGCTCCATAGGAGAAAGTTTATCTTCCAGGCTCCTCTTTAAGGTTGCTTTCACCGGAACTGTGTTCCTGATAGGAAACAATGCTGTACTTAAGATTTCTTTTTCCTGTCTCCTCCTGCTAATGGAAGTACTTACAGTTGGTGTAATCTTGCCCCAAAGACAAAACAGCAAAATTCTTGTAGTTGTTTTAGAAGAGAGAGGAGATGGAAACTATGTGTAGAAGGCTTCTGTTAACACTTGAGCTGCTGTCTTGGTCCTATCAGCCTTTTCTAGTTAGGTAAAGAAATGACGTCTTTGCGCAGCTTGAAATGCAAGCTAGCATTAGTTGGAACTGCTGAAGCAATTGTGTGCATGCAAGAAAAACAGTTGGTGTCTCCCTCAGAAGAAGCAATTCCCTTTTTATCTGAGAGAGTGAATAAAAGCTGTGTTAAAATCAGAATTTGGAACAAACCTAGGGTACCAAAATAATGCAAATCTCTCATGATCTGCTGTGTTGTGGTCTTTCATTTGTCTTTTAACTCGTTCTTCAAAAAGTTGTTTCAGTGTCAGCATCTGTTGTTACTACATGGTTGTATGAACCTGTGACAGTGTTATTACAGCCCTGCTTAAATGCCTGTTCCTTTTGCTTCACATTTCTTCTGCGCTAAAAAATCACCCTCAGTCTGTTTGCTGTTTGGGCCTTTCTCAATGAAATAATGTGACATTATTACTAATAATGTCAAAACCAAAATGATTGGTTTTGTTCAGTGAGGTGTCAAGAAAGTGGAGAGATTAGGTTAATCATAAATCATTAACTCACCTCTCATTCACATACTAAATGTGCATCTTACTGCTGTACTTTTTATTTATTTATGCTTAATATTAAAAAATATTGTTATGGCAGTATAGTTTTTAAATGCTGTGGATATTGAGGCAGTTTCTGTTAAGACTTTTTCTGGCGTGTGTTTCTTACTATGTTGTTAAGGTTATTGAACACACATTTTCCCTCTAGTGTTTTAGCATGTTTTGCTCAATGAGAAGGGATTGTCCCATGCAGTGTTGCTGCTGGTTTCATAAGCAGTCAGTAATGTGATGGCAGTTGTAAGTCCAGGACTGGTGAGTTACTGTGAAGGAAGCTAATAGCAATTCTACATTCCTTAGATAGTTTGTTGCAGTTTCAACTCAGATTTTTCGTAAGAAATGTTCCTGTTTAGCAGTCCAAAGTTGAGCATTTAGTTTGAGGTATGTTCCCATTCCTGTCAGCTAAGGGTAGAAAAGAGTATGAGCTTGACAAGATCAATGCTCCAAAAGAAGCCACTCCAGTATTCCTGATTCTACTGGAGTGATAAGCATTGTAGGAACTTGCATTGCAAGGGAGAATCCAGTTGAACTGCTAAGTAGATGTTTCAGAACAAAGGACAGACTCTGCCTTTCCACACACACGTGGCTGAGCTGTGGAACACTCCTCTGCAGGATGGGGCAGGTGTTTCCACACACATGTGGCTGAGCTGTGGAACACTCCTCTGCAGGATGGGGCAGGTGTCAGCATTGGAAGTGAGTTCAGGAGGAAGCAGTTGGCCCTGGTGTGCAGTACATGAAGTGAAGAGAGTTTTTTATATTCACATTAAAAACCCCGGGAGTGCTGCCTTGTCTTACTCAGAGTAGCACAGGCTTACCTCAAACGAATGCTGCTCATGCTGCTCATGCTGCTCATGCTGCTCATGCTGCTCATGCTGCTCGAGCTGTTGGCCAGGGAGGTGCTCTTTGTGTAGACCTGCCCCCAGGACACCTTTGAGTGACAGGACAGGGGAACTCCCCATCCTTGTGAGCTTTCAGTGGCCATGAGGAATGTGTGAGGAAAATGTAGCAGTAAATGTCACTGTGGTGTGTGAGGCTCGCTGTGCAAATGTTAGGGGCATTTCTGTTTCCTGAGGAATGACATTTCCTCGGTGACATAGCTGTGAGCAGGGGGGAAATGCCCTTTCCAGCTCTCACCCCTTTGTCTGCCTGGTGCATCTCTGCTGGTGGCTGCCTCGGTCAAGAACTATGAGAGTAAAGGGAAGGCTTGCCTGCTGTTCACAGGGGAATTAAGAGTCATAGGGAAATAAAGTTGGAAAAAAGGGTTTCCGGAAGTGGGCACAGTCACAGCTGCATCACTGTAACAGGTGTTGAGAAAAATGCTTCATGGTGGAAATTCCATCTTTACCCAATCCCTTTAGAAGAATTTGTCTGGGAACTTAGATTCTTTTTGAGCCACAGGAGAGTATTTCAGATGGGATGCCAGTTATGGGAAATCATTTGTAGTGCACTTTGGTCTCTATTCACGTTGATTTTGTTTACAAATACAATTCTCTGGTGTTCATTCATGGTCATTGAACAAAATCTTGGCATATTGCTCCAGCTTACTCATATCCTGCGTTTGAAAAGGCCCGAGATTTATGGGGATGTATTTAAATGCAGTTAAAGCTCTTTTCTTACTGGGGAATTTTGCTTATAGTTTGATTTTTAAAAATTAACCATCGTAGTGTCTGATGGTCTCTATACTTCTTTTGACAGTAATCCAGTCCCTCATAGCACTGGTGAATGATCCACAGCCCGAGCACCCCCTCCGGGCTGACCTAGCTGAAGAATACTCTAAGGACCGTAAAAAATTCTGTAAGAACGCTGAAGAGTTTACAAAGAAATATGGTGAAAAGCGACCAGTGGACTAATCTGACACAACTGCTGTCAGCAACGTATGATAGAAGATCGGAGCAGTGCATTTGAGACACCCCGTAAAGCAGGACTCTATGGAAAATTGACAAGTGCCACCTTTCGGTGTGAACTTGTGGCTGTTACTAACTTTCTACAGTTTTCTTAATCAAAAGTGGGCTAGGTAACCTGTAAAGAAAGGATTAAAATTTAAGATGTTCTAGTTCTGCTTTCTTTGTTTAAAAATCACTGCTTCAATATACTTTAAAGTACGCTGTTTTCTTTTTCTTGTCAGAATTTATCAAAAATATCTTAGACTTATATTCTGCCCTTAAATTGAAAAAGTTGTGGCTGTCATTTCTTATTTTTCCTTGCAGTTCCCACTATCTTGAGTTCATTCACTGAATTTTAAACCCCCTCCTCAAAGTGATGTCTTAGGAAAAATATCCCAGTTCTGGCAGAAAATGATTGAATGTTTGGCAGTTTCGTTTACTTTTCTTTTTAAATGTTGCACTGTGCTTTGTGGGACTTGTTGCAAGTTCCCCTGAACTTCAGTTTGTAACATAATAAACAAAAAACAACCCAATCCCACAAAACCAATCAGAAATAATGTCTGGGTCTGATGTAAATCTGGCCAATGTCTATTAAACGGGGAAACCCAAGTTTTTGTGTGTGTCATTGAATTAGAATGTGGCTTATGTTCTGCTTTTGGAATACTTTGGGAAAAAAATCTGTAGCAAACAAGTAGTGGAATGTGATTTCAAATTTCCTTCACTTCTGTCCTTAATACCTATGCAGAGCAGCAGGAATGTGCACAGAACAACATTGCAACCAATCCAGGAGAGTGTTAGAAACTGAGGACCAAGAGGTACCAAAGTGATAAACTGGTTTCTTGAATTTAAAATTGGTATTTCGGAGATGTTCATTTGGAGTTAAAGAACTAAACCTGACAGCACTGCTGTCATCTCTGAACGTTTTCCATCAGAATGCGTAAGAAACACCTGTGTTTATGGGATGGCACTTGTGCCCCTTCCCAGCCCCTCTGCTGCCGGGTTCTGCCAGCACTGGAGCAAGGACAGGGCTGAGTAATAATGTGTGAATGTGCTTTGCTGCTGCTGCTCCTGTGTTTAAACACACGGGTTGGGTGATTCAGTGAGCGTTCAAGTGTCATTCTGGCATTGTGGCTTAATCAGGCAGAGCTGTTTGCCAGTTGCTCTGCGGCACTCCTACGCATGCTGAAGGAAGCCCTTTCTGTTCAGACCTGAGCATCCTTGGCTGTGTCCCTGCTGCTTGTCACCTGCCTTCTCTCCCCAGTTCAGTGTGATTTGTTGCTCCATGGTCAAACTGCCACACAGTCAAACTGCCATGTCCCCCCTACTCTCCAGCTGGGGTCTGTTACTGAGCAAACACACATTATCTCCAGAAATCCATCGGTATCTGGGAGCACATATCATTTTGATGTGCAGGAAGCTGAGTTAGAAAATCCCTGACACCTAGGTGGTTGCCTGTACTCTCAAATTCAGTTTTAATACAGCCTCTGCCTTTGCAACCTTTCAGAACTAGTGTGTCAAGCAGTAAGTCTCTCTTGGTTTTAATGTCTTGTGTATTTGCTATTCCCTCATTCATCCCTCTCATCTGGCTTTCATTTCTGATTTAGTGTAAACAACGACAGCCCAGTACCTCACCTCTGTTGAACGTAATTTTTTTATAAGTTAGGGAGCTAAGAAATGTTATGTTTAAGTGTTCTTAGACAGATTCTTTGGCAGGTAAATAAAGTTAAACCACATTCACCTTATTTACAGAAACTTGCATTTCCTAAGTGTTTTCAGGCTTGTGAGAGCACTATTACCAAATTTTCACAGCTTCGTGTCTTTATTTGCAGAAGGTTGGTACCGATTCTGTTTCATTCACGCTCACTCGGATTCATAATAAAATAATGCCAAATTATCTGTCAAACTGAAGCGTGTAACTTCCACATCACCTGAGTCACTGTACCTTTGATCATGTCTGTTGGCATGGAAACATACCATTCTCTAAATTTTATTTGAAACAAAACTGTAGCATTAGTTTGCTGCCCTCATTGCTACTCAGTAGTTACTCTGTGGTTGTAAAGCCTCTCAGGTCAAAGACTGCATCTGTCTGCATTGCTGTGACTCGGATGCTGTTGGAAGGGAAGGGCTGTGTGATCCAAGGAACTCGAGTCATGCAGTGCTGCACCAGCCATTCCGATTCCAGCTGCAGAGGTCACATGGAAGACAGATCCTGCTATCAGTTCTCTTGGTGTGTTCTCCATAGTCCAATTGCTAAACTGTGAGATGTGTAACCCAAGTGCTGATGCTGTCTGGGGGCAGCCTCTGAACAAAGGGATCCGACACTGTTGTGTGGCTGAAGTCTGAGGAGAAGAAATCCAAGTGTGAAGTCCTATGTTAACTCAGGAAATCCAGCTCTTCTTCTCTCTGGTTCCCTAAGCCATGCTGAATTCTAAACGTGCAGTTGAACATCCACAATAAAAGCAGCGCACTGGTGAAACTACACCCAGGAGTACTGGTATAGGCTTCCTGCAAGTCCATTCTGCTACCCTAATAAAAATTGCTCTCAAAGGCTTTGTGGCATGGTTTTATTTTCAGAGAGGTCTGGGAATTAACTGGAATTGTATTATCATTTGTAATTTGGACTTGGGTTGCCTTTAAAGCTTTCATAGAAACACTGAGAAATTTCCTTATCTCCCTACATGCAATTGAAAGGTTCCCTATTTAGAAGTCTTTTAGTATTCTTTATTCATTTCTCCAATTAAACAAAAATTTGGGGTTTAATGCTGTTCATTTACATTTTGTGTTTGCAGTACAGTGCTCGGGTACTGCTGCTGTCAGGTTCTAGTGCTCAGCTGCCAGGAAACGCCTCCAAAATTCAACAGGTGTTTAACATCCGGTTGGTTGTGATCAGGGCAAATTCAGCAGTTAGAACATGAAGCAATTTAAACGTTAAAAATAAGGCTTAAAAATATCCATGAAACACGATGACATTCCATGACCAGTTGAACTCTGTCCCGTCACGGCGGTTGCAGTGATCCCGGTCGGCGCTGGGCGGCGCTGGCGGGTGGGGCCACTCGGAGCGCGGGTCTGTCCCCACTGGGAGAACCTTTGGAATAACGTCAACCCAAAAGGTAACAACTGCCCTGGTCAGATCCAGCCGGGAGTGCTTTTAAAAACAAACTTTTCATATATCTAATTAATTCTCTGACAATGATTTAGGAAAATCTGGAAAAATACTCTCTACAGCATCCTTGTTTTTCCTATTTGTACGGGACAAAAATGTCCTCAGTCGTATTACAGGGAAGATCAGATAGTTCCCATTAAGGATAGAAAGACAATGGAAACCCTTCTGGAGCTCCCAGGCAGCCACAGGGGGAGCAGAAAGGTGGGTGGATTTAGTTCACTCACCAGCTGTAACCAAACCCAAAAGCCTCCTGAAGCACTGCAATAGAAAAGGCCTGAGTTTATTTTTCATTTAAAAGAATGACAATTATATTGACATTTTTAATATTAAAAAACATGGTTAGCAAAACCAATTACATTAAATCACTTATGTGCAGAAAATGAGCATTAACAGTCTAAAATAATTTCTCCCCATGTGAAAATTCTATAGGAGTGACAGGGCTGCAGTTAAGAGCGTTAAGCATTGCTGGGGCTTATTGGAGTTCAAATGCTTTGGTGGCAGGAATAAAAGGGACAGATACAGGGACCTTGTTCCCTTGCAGACCTGCTTGTAGCTGGCACAGGGCTGTCCCTGTGTTTGTCCTGAGGGGCAGTGGGCGGGGCGGGATCAGTTGCTGCTGCTCTTGTACACAGCAGACACTGAAATAGCAGATGGGTCAACAGTTGCTGTTCTTGCAAAGTCATCCAAAAAATAAGAAAGCCTCTCTGAAAGGGCTGTGGCCGATGTTACTTTCCTATGGGAGCTTAACGCCAAGAGGCAACGTAAATAGGCAAGGACAAAATTACTGCCGGCTGAGGTGGCTCCTGGAAGGGGCTGCAGATGCCACTGGGCCAGGTGTATTATCTGACTGCTCTGAACAGAGGAATACTCTGAAGATCACGTGACCTGCGCCTCTCCCCATCTATGAGCAGGGATAAGTGGAGGGGCAGGGACCATGACAGTGCTTTAGGAAAACCAAATGCTGAAGGTTTCCAGGCCTCCCATGACCTACACCAAGCGGCTGCTCCAAAGCAGCACCTCCTCCCCCAGCATGCTTATTTTTTTGCCATTAAGTCCAAAAAGAGAAATGATGGTACCTATGGTACCTATGGACCATTAAGTCTAAAAAGAGAAATGATGGTGCAAAGCATCTCACAACAGAGCACACCTCTGTGCTGCTCCTTCGCTGACAGGAGCTGAGCCCTGGGAGGCAGCTGGGCCTCAGTCACTGTCCTGCACTGTGTTGGGGTGTCATAGAAGGGGTATGTCACATTCAGAGCAGATGCCGTGGCCTAAAAACTGACAGTCGTGGCTCTGGGGCACTGCCTGGAGCCGCTCACAGGGTAACGCTCTTCCATTCCCAGGCTGTTCTCAGCTCCTGTCAGCTGTGCCAGGGAGTGTGACACTGGTAACAGTGGTCTGGCTTGTCTGGACACCAGCAACTACCTGGCTTCAGAGGATGGATGGATGGATGGGTGGATGGGTGGATGGATGTCTGCTCATTTATTTAAAGATCCTTGAATGAACACAGCTGAATGTTCCTGCTTTTGTAATGGCTCTGCAGCTCCGGCTTAATTAACGTCTGGAGTTCATGGAGGCGCTCCCAGGACTGGGAGAAATCATCCGGTCCTTCCCCACAGCCACCAACGGGTGGGACACTGGGGTACCCCGGATGCACCATCAGTTCAATGGTCACTGTCCTGCTCTGCAGTGCCGGGTGTGCAGGCGAGGGCGCCCTGGATGTGACCTCCACGATGGCAGAGTTGATGGCACTCCAGATGCTGCTCACAGACATGTTCTTGCCCATGGTGCTCAGGCCTATATAAATGTCAGGCCACCTGGAGCCAGGGGAGGGAATACTGATATTAATGCTAACGAGGTAGGTAGAGAGCTGTGTTATGTCCAGTGGATTAGGAATCAGAAATTACCTACAATGTAAGACCGAAAAGGGGGAAGGGGATTTTAAAACTTTTAACTATAAGCAAAAGTGAAAACAGAACCTCAAGCCAGTTATGCTTTCTCTTTCCTTATTGAAACGAGGATCCTATTTCCAGCAGCAGTTCTGCAGTGACAGGAACCCCCCAGCATCAGCAGTGCTGCTGAGACTATTGACATACACTGTGTCACAGCACAGGGGTTGTTTGGTATCTGTGAGCTTACAGGTGCATTTTGTTGGCCCAAAAGAGAAGAGCAGAGCTAAACTGAGAAATGCCACACTATCAAAATAACTTACACCTGAATAATAACTCTCAGGTAAGTAGAAACAAAAGTGACTGAAATAAAATGGAAACCACTCAGCTAAAGAAGCGTTCTGTCAGAATGTATCAAAGAGCCATAATAACTGGACAAAATGCTACTACTAGAGGACAGCTACAGGCTGGTTCTTAGTAGCTTCGACACAGATCTTTTTTCAAGTCTGGCTGCAAACACTGGCCCTAGTGCAGCCTGAACAAGCCCAAGGCGGGTGAGCCAAGTGCATGTGAGGGCAGAATGAGAACGTTTTTGGAAGAAACCAAGGCTGCAGTTTTTACCTGCATGATCAAAGAAGAGCCCAGCTGAACACTGGGCTCTTCTTGAAAAGAGTTTGCAGGACTTAGCAGAAGAATTTGAAGTGTGAATATAGTACCCTTGCCGACACCTCGCTGCTGTGCAATGAGCAGAGCCTTGTGCTCTCCAGCATCACAAGCCGGCTCCAGGGGCTCAGCGTGGTCCTTCTGCACAGGTGCTGAAGTTGAGTTGCAGCACTGAGTTCCCTGAGCTTTCGGCCGCCCGTGCTCTTTGAGTTTCCCTGGGTTTCCCCGTGTTCATGTTTTGGTAAGAGCTCGCCCCTTCTTGCCTGCCCCACTGGGAGCGGCCGGAGCGGGGTGGATACAAACATGCAGGTCCTCGGGCCCGCCAGTTCCCGTCCCCCATGCAGGATTTCCACCGCGCTGTCCTGGTGTGGACCTGCCCGAAAGGTGCGTTACTCTCCTGCTGAACTGCCCTGTGAGTTGCTGTGTCCTTCCTTCCCTTAGAAGCAGGGTGGAGCACGGCCCACGGGCTCTGGAGGGATGGGGCAGGGTGAAATGCCAGCCTGATGCTGGTGTTCAGGACAACTGATACCAAAAAAATTAACTAAAAAAATAACTTTTTCAGTGGACCGAGAAAGTAACAAAATCTGTCCCAAAGGACAGGTGACTGCAAGGGTATCAAGTGAAATATCTTTAATCCATAAGGCACTGTTTAAGCTTATAAGAAAAGTATGTTACTGGGGGAAGGGCTGAGCTTTTCGGACTTGGCCCCTGAGGTGTAGGACAGACAAGGCTGTTTGCTTAGAGCAGTGACTGCTAGCTGTGGCACTGCGAGCTCTGAGCTTCTTGCTTCCCCTTAATGACAAACACTTGTTTCTAATTAGTCTCTTTCCTGCTACTTAAAACCCTTTCTTCACTCTGCCAGGTAAATGAAAAGTTATTTCTTGAAACCTTTCCCTAGATCATACTTTTAATATTCCAGTGTTGATGTAGCATTTCTCTTGCCATCCCAGATGCCAGGCTAATGCAGCTTCACTAGGAAGGCTGAGAAACATACCCTGAAAAGAACATTCCCTTTCAAGGGGGGAAGTGAGTCATCTCTGTTCAAACAAAACTTCCCAAGCTCTAGTGCCCCTGGCACTTTTGTACTCCTCCTGACTCTCTCTGTAAGCCTAGAAAAGGAAAGAGAAAGGTGGTGTTCCATTTTTGAAAGATACTATCAGGAACTGATAAGATCTTAAAGTTTTACTACAAAAAGGATGGGTAATGCCTGTCTTACCTTATTCCATGCTTTGTAAACACATCCACTGTGTTAAAAGAATCTTCTTCTACTCCCAGGTAAAAGTCCATCAGGGATGGTGGAATCCAGTCACAGTTATGAAGGCCTGGCTCTACTGGGACACGAGTGTACTTAATCCCATATTCCTCTAACACCTCTGCAAACACATGCCTGACCTCTGCAAATATAACCAGGGACAGTATAGTCAGGAATTGGGTAACCAGCTCATCATGTCCCCTGTGAGATGTTAGCACAGAGGCTTCTTTCTTTCCCATGTTCGAGAAAATAAAATCACATTTGGTTTATCTTCTGCTGAAATGGTCTTCTTCATCTGGATAGGGGTCACCTATGCTGGAAATATTTCTCCCTCACCATCTGCTGTAGGTGCCTTGTAGGTCTTTCCTTCAGCACTGAGCATTTAGTCCAGCCCCCCCTTCTGAGTGACTCTGGTCTTAAGAGTGCACCAGAGGTGACTGCATTGTCAGGAATGAGTTCTTCATCAAATCCCTGCAAGCCAGAGCAATGTTATCCAGAGGCAGTTTAGAACTGGAGTGGGGAAACCTGGATTCTTTTTTTACTCAGTTTTCTGTACCACAGTGACTTTATTTTCAAAACGAAGACAAAAGGTACTCGCTCATCTCTTAAACATGCTGGGACCTGTGGACAGGGACTGGGATGGAAATAACTGACAGGATGGAGCTCTTGTAGCACCTGAAAGAGTCACCAGCTTTTGCAAACTGTAGAGGAAGTGTCTTATTGCTCAAACAGGGAGCTGTGGCAAGGGGAGGCCCCTCTTGAGTGACTCTCTGACTCCCTCACCTGCTTGGCACTGGGAAGAGGAGGATTTCCTTCTCACCTGGGAGGACGTGGACGTGCTGGTGCCCATCCATGTGAGGAGGTAGGTGACCTGTCAGCTCATGGAACAGCTCCACCTGGGCCTTTAGCTCCTGCTTCACCTGTGCCACAGAGAAGGGTCAGAGCAAGACCTGTCAGGAGGCTCAGAGCAGGAAAGTGGAAGGGCTGCTGGGGACATCACTGGCCAAGAGTCAGGACCTGGCCCTGGGAGGCACCAAGTGCTGTGATTATAAATGGATCAAATGGATGTGCAGCTCTGCTGGGTTGCCCAGAGCCTCCCCCAGGCATGGGGCTCTTTCTGGTACTGGTCATGGGGATGGTGCTGATACTGGGATTTTCTAAAATACATAGGGCATTTGAATACCCATTTCCCTTTAAAATGAGTGGGGAAATGGGTGCTCATATCCCATAGGCAGTTTTGATCACCTGAACACGTTTGTTCATGCTCACAGGGCAAAACCAGCCATCTCCCTAGAGAACAAAAGCCCTTTACAAGCAGATGAAAAGCCTAGTGCCTATTTAGGACTTCTCTGTCATTTCCCTTTTAGTGATCTCTAGTTTTTTTGTAAATACCAGTTCCAGTGCCTCTTCTGCCCCCTCAGATAAGTAGTTAACAGGACATTAGTGTATGCAGGCACTGAAATGGGGAGGAATGACTTCTAAAAGGCTGCAGAGCCTTTGGCAGAAGGAGGCCCAGGTCCTGGAAAGCCATCTCCAGCTGCAACAGGCAGTACAGTCATCTCTAAACTTACTCACAGCTGGGATCTGGGAAGTTTCTTCAGCTGTTATGTGTTGGGATAAACGCAGGCTGATCTTTACCAGGAAAGCAAGTTGCAGGGTTGTATGTGGCTTTCTCCTACCTCTGACATGTTCAGGAGACCTCTTGATAGAGCTGTTCTGAATCCCATTTTTCCATGGAAGAATCCATCTTGGTTGAGCAGAGAAGAGTTTGTCTTGAGCATCTCGCACACAGGGGAGCCCTCAGAAAGGTTGGCATGAAGGCCTATTGGGATGCTGTACCTGTAATAAGAATGAAATATCTGTTAAGCTTTGCACCTCCCTTACTGTGGCCAAGGGGGGGGGGGGGGCAGGAGGAGATTTCAGTGAAAGAACTAGACTGATCTCAAAAGTGTTGATGTACTCACTGGAGCACATCTGTATTTCTGCTCTGCTAGGAAGAAAAGCACAGTGACCCTAACCAGAGCAGAACATCTCCAGATAACCACCCTGTGCAGTCTGCCAGGCGCCAGTCCGTGAGACCTCCCAACTCTGCTCCCACCCTGGCTCACATCATGAAGTACTCTGGGCTAAATGCTGTAACTACACTTAGTAACTGCAGTTACCAGTGACCAACAGAAAAATCTGGACCTTGCATCCTTTTCTAAAACACTTCATTAGCCGTTGCCAGGTATCCCATTGAGTTGTTCACCATATTAAAGATGGTACATTTGAGACATCTGAGTTTTACTTGACAACTTCTAAAGCTGCCCTTAAGTAGAATCCAGTGCCCAAGGCAGCTGTTATGGCAACAGCACAGGCTACAAGTGTAAATACTGTCTGAGTTTAAGAGTTTCCTGGTCCAAGGAGCTGCAGCTGGAATTGCCTGCAGTGTCATGGTTCCTATGTACTGGTGCAGATGATCACTCAGCAAGTGACAAGGCTGAGCAGTATAGAGCAACACCTCTCTGGCACAGCCAAAGGAATAGTGCAGGGGGCTCATAGTGAAGTGTAGAACCTTGCCAAGGAAGCACAAGGGTACAATTGATTAACTAGTTGCACTCTAACAATTTTTAAAAAAATGAAACTCTGGAGCTGGTGTAGCTGGAGAGCCCCTCTCAGCCACAGGGCTTAGGGGAGTGTTGGTGTTTCCTTCTTGGTCTATGCTGTGGATTCCCCTACAGTGAAAACAGGACTTGTGAGTGCTCAGATTTGTGCTGGGTCTCATTAGCATTTCTGCAAATCCTCAGAATCAGTAGCCAAAATGACGCTTTGAAACTTTTTCCAAGACAACCCCTGGCCTCCGGCTGACCCAGTAAGTGCATGACAGAATTGCAATGTTCCATCTGTGCTGCCCAGGCTGAGTCATGGTGCAGAGTGAATTTCAAGGCAACAAGTCTGTGATGCTTTAAATCCTTCTTGGAACTTCTGCACGAGGCTGCTAAAACTGAGATTGGTCTGTCCCTGGTACAGCCCTTGTACCATAGGGAGGAAAAAAAAACAATCTCCGTTTAGGCAAAGTGTGCAAAAACCGGATCTTCCCCGTCTGTCTGCTCCCCTGAAGCTGACTGGTAAAACAGCAAGTTACTGGAGACAGGACTGTGGATGGATTGGTCCAAGTCAGAGTTATGAGAAATAAATAATCCAGTTTTATTATAAGCTAATTGATTTAAGTGGAAAGCAGGAGGAGTTGGGAATTTTTTTCTTCTCTTTCATTTAATTTCAGGAGTTTTAGGCGCCTCGTGGAGATTGTAAGGTGAAAGGCCCCATCAGGGCTTGACACCAAGGAGTTGTCGCGGTTGGGGTAGGGAAAAAATATATAAAAATGGAAAATATACCCTGGCCACGTGGCTGGCCTTTGTGTGCAGAGGGACCCCCTGTGCATGCACAAGGGGATACGTCATCAATCAATCATGAGGGAGGGTGACACTCCCTCCCGAATTAAAAAAATTACCTTTTTAGGTAAAATACCTGCTACCTGTTGAATATTCAACATCTTAAGTGGCCAAGGGTAAAAAGGAGCGTGTTTTTTCAAACCGGGTGTGCTTTTCCAGGCAAGTGGCTTGGGGATTGCACCCAGCGCTGCAATAAAGGATTTCTTGCTGCAATTTTCCTTGTCCTACAAGTATTTTTGCCGTTTCATAAATTAGAGGCAGAGATTTTTCTCACAAGGTCCTAAAGCTTTGACCCTCACAGGGCAGAAAGTCTCTTTCCTGGCTCCTCCGTGTCTCGCGCTGCAAGTAGATGGTGCAGTTAGTTGCTAGATACTACTTCTCAAAGACATAAATGTTAAGAGTCAAGTTATATGCTCAGATCTTTGGAACAAAATGAGTCCACGTCTTTCCAGTCCACTGTGTGATTAAGGAGTTCGAATGTTTGTTTAATGGAGCAAAAGAGCTTGAGGGGAGAAGGATCTCTGCTGGTTTTTCTGACCTAGTGATTTCTGTGCAGCAGGGCCTGATTGTTTTGTTGATGATAAATATTCCTCTGATGTTCACACTTGAGGCCTGAACACATGACACGTGCACAGTAACTCCACAGAAGTGGAAGGTGCTGTCATTGGGAGTGTGGCCCTTGGGCAGGCAGCTGGGCAGGAGGCAACTACAGAAGGGGTGCAGTGAGAGGAGGGCTTTCCCTCCATCCTGTGACCTGCTGGGCACCCTGCTTGAGCCCAAAGGCAGAGGGAGATCCTGTGGTTTTGTTTCGGCTTTTTTCAGAAGTCCACCCCAGATTCTTTTTCACGTCTTTGGGAAGCTGCCCAGCATCAGCTGGAGCATTATTTGTACCAGAGTCACTGCTGTTTGCAAGAAAAAAGGATTCATGTGTTACCATGAATCAGCAGATGGAATGTTTTTGTTGAGTACTCTCCTTCTCATGTGTTGTGGGAGGGTAAGAAATGGACAGCTGAGCCTCTTGGTGTTGTCTCCCAGGAGCATTGAATGAACTGCCTCCAATTGTGCAGTGCTTCAAATACTGTGAGGAAAGTTATTTCCAGGAGAAGGCAAGACCCTCTGACAGGTGTGGAACGAGAAGCCAAGTGCTGCACTGGGGAACATGAGAGCTGCTCCTTGCCTGAGCCAAAATCAGCCCCAGAGCTGGGGAATGTGTGGAATGTGGAAGTGCAGAGAGAGCTGGCCTTGTCCTGGCTGTAAGGGGAGATCCTGACTGTAACATTAGAGCATGTTTCAGAGCTTTGGCCAACACCAGCTGAATATCTTAATAGTTTTCTCATGGAGTTAGTCCTGGCTGGTTAGACAGACTGCCCAGGCTGAGGCATCTAAAGAGGAATTGCTTGTGTTTAATGGCCCTGGGATACAGGGACTGAAACCAAAACTCAAAAAGCAGCATGTGAGAAACTTGATCAGAAATATTACTCTGTGGGAGATGCACAGAAGCAGGAGTGCTGGGAAGGCTGGGAGGTTATGGGAAGGAGGACAATGCAATTGGTACAGCAGAATTCTGCTGCAAGCCAGCTCTTCTCCCCACAGACTGCTACACACAAGGGACTAACTCTGCTGAGCACCTCTCTACTGAAATGCAGCTCCTGCAACCCAAGGGCAATGCCAAGGCAGGCTTCACTGTAAAAAAGGAAAGGAGAAAAGTCAGGTAGTGGGAATATCCTGAAAGGGCCCCTTTTTCAGAGTGCAGATGACTGTTTCTGCTACCCAAACATACTTTATAGTTGCCTATATCTTTTCAAAGCCTGTAAAATATCTGTTATTTTACTGGCTGAAATACTGAGACCAGCAGCTCAAGTTGCTTATATAGCATGTGATGCTGCCCTGGCAACAGAGCTCAGCTGCTGTGCGTTTGGCCTCAGACCCACTCCTCTGCCCAAGCCCTTTCCAGAGGGGACAGGGTGAGCCCTGCTGGTCACTGCTGGGCAGGTCTAACTGCTAATTGCTCACATAGGATCCAAAATAAAAGGGTTGGCATTGAACTTCAGGCAGTAGTTTAGTTTCTGCAATGAAAACGCTACAGTAACAGCTACCATTGCCAAAACAAAATTATGCTGAGGAATCTGCTTGGTGTCTTTAAGCTCTTCTTGGTGGTTGTTTTAAGCAGCAGTAACCCTTCCACAACCTGTTTGGGGAAGCCCATGTCCATGTGATTTCAAGTCCATCCCAGTGCTCTGGAGAATGCACAGATGTGAATCTGGATTTAGCACGGGGGTTCAGTTCACTCCCGATAAAGCCAAAGGACAGTGTCTACAAGTGTGTGCTCGTACAGTATGAGCAGCATTAGACTGGGCTGCCTGGGAGCTTGCTGAGAAGAGGTTCAGGGCAGTAGCTTCTGCAGCCACTGAGGTTATTCTGCTAGTGATTTATTTGCATCCAAATTTGGCTGTTAAACCAGCCTGGCTCTGTGGTTCTCTGCTCACCATCCCTTGTAGAGGTGGAGAAAAAAAGAGGGAGTTGTGGGAAGAAGGAAATACCCTCACAACAAGTGCTACAAGGGGCAAGAAGGAATTTACCCTGGAAAGATTTCTGAGTCAGCAAGCTCAGTCCAGTAATCAGACAGAGGAAATACAATCAGCTAAACTGCTTCCTTTTCAAGTAGTTGCTTGTTTTGCCACACGGGTGCTCTGAACAAAGTCTCTGCTGAGGCAAAGTGCTCTGTGCAGCTGCAATCCCTGTTCATTCACATCCTTAGCAGTAAAGGCACCCTGGAGATGGTTACTACCCTGAGTCACTCTTTAAAGTGCCCACCAGCTTTGCACATTTCTGAGCTTGGTGGATGAGTAACAGTGTCCTGGGTTCTGCCTGGCCTTGGCAAGGGACTCTGTGCAGTCCCTGTGTTCCTGGGAGCAGTTGCAGTGGCTGAGGGAATTATGTGATTCACCCAGAACAGTCCCAACTGAGTTGCTGAATGCTGCAGGCTCTGAATGCTGTTATGCAAGTGCATTACAATAGCACTTACCCTTTTCCTTGATGTGTAAACAGCTCCCACCTTCAACATCCTGTTTGTGCCATCCAGGAAATTACTGTTCATCAGGTTTCAGCCCAAGGGTGACACAAGTTAGAGCCTCATATATCTGTATCTAGACATCCTGCTTCAGTAAACATCCACATCTGAAGCCAGACAAAGTCTGAAGCCAGACAAAGCAAGGCTGTGCTTTGTGCAAAAATGTGCAAGTCTTAGTTTCTCCATGTTGGCATTTGCATAATTCCTCCCCCCCCTTTCATCATTCAGCAAATTGTAAGATTTGTCTTTCCTCAAATAGCATCTTTTCTTGCTCTAATACCGCTAAAGCCTTATTTCCGCTGCAAGAAATGCTCCAAAGCCTCTGCAGTGTTAAGAACTGGTGCTGTAACATAGCTTAGGGACCTGAGTTTCTGTTGTAATTACATCTTTGTATGAAGTGAAGCTCCTGTGTCTGTAACCTTACATCAGCAAAAAGTGCTGTTGCCAGTAAAGCCACTATGACCTGGAATTACAGTTTAAGGCCTTGGATTGGGCTCCACCCCTATCCAAACAGTTCAGCAGTGGTGCTGTCTGCTGTGTGATTAACGGTCACATAAAAGGGTGATGAGAAAGCATGAGAGATTTCTAGATTAGTCAGATGTTAACTGGGAATGTCAGAATTAAGTCATAATTTACACACACATTTTGCAATTAGTGTTGATAGGAAGGGAAGTGAAAACATAAAGAGCAATTAAATGTGGTTTGCTAGATTCTTCTGTTAAATGTACCCAGATGTTGTAGGGACTTCAGCTTTTGTGTAGCTGATGTTCAGCATTTAAACTGTGAAAAAACACTCAGGATATGGCAGCAAATTATCTTTCTATCTCTGTATTTCCAATGAAAAATGAAGGGATTTATTAATTTCAGGTTACAAAATAACCCTTCCAGTTTTGGGGAAAGGCTCTGGAATAATCACCAAGAAGACTGGCTGACTTCAAGATAGGGCTTGCTAAGTAGAAAACTGAGATTATATTATATGGATAACGAGGAAGTCACAGTCAGTCAATGCCACACAAAGAGAAAAGTTTGAGTTACTGAAAAAAACTTTAACCCATAATGGTAGCCTGTTCTCCCACCAGCTGTTCCGGTTTTGTTTTTCTCTGGCAGTTGCTATCAGTAGGTTTGTCATTTGGTGATGGATCAGCCCTCTGCTGAAACTTCTCTGTTGCCTGAAGCAAGTTGGTCCCTTCTTTTAGCCCAGTTGTGACAGTGAATGAGAAAAGCCCAAGATCCTGAGTCTGGATGTTAGGGAAGGTGTATTTTTTAGTTCTTCGTTCTGCTGCAGGTTCTGCAGTTAGTTTGTGTTAGAGCTGGTACTAAGATCTGCTGATTATCATCACATTTCTGCCAAGGCTTCTAATTAAAACTCAGGGCAACAGATGGTATACTCAGAAACCTACAGAATTATCATGAAAATGAAAGCTAGAACTAAATTTCAGAGGAACCATGTTCCTTTCTGAAGGATGCTGAGTTCTAACTTTGCAGGGCAGCACGAGGTGCTTAGGGAGGAAAAGTTGTCTTGCTACTAATTAGCTTTGCCTGTGTCCAATTTCCTGAAAACAAGGGGAGGAAAGAGAGCTCAAGGCTTGCAGTGACAAGCCACCATGTCACAGACAGTTAATCAAGAACCACCCAGATGATCTTCACAAGCCAAAGAAGCAGTCCATCACTCTGACAATCCTGCACACATGCACCACGTCACGCTAGCACTCTGGCGCAAAAGACCAAATTCCACAGCACTGGAATAGGCCCCAGGAAAGAACAAGCTATTTGCTTCAAGCCTCTTCTCTCAGCTGGTGATAGATCCACTCTTCCTGCTTACACCACTGATCAAAGCTGAATAGGGGAAGATAAACTTGGGGAGAAAAAAACAGGCAGGCTTTCATCCCTTAAAACACAAAGCCTCAATATTCACAGTGGTATGCAAAATGACACCAAGCAGGGGGAAGAGGGAATAAGAGTGGCAAGACAGTCAAGCAAGTGATGCTTTCTGATTTTTGCACCACAAGATGAGGAGGATTCAATGACATTTCTAGTAAGTCTGACCTATTTGGCATTCATGTACATCAGCCTTTGCAACAGAAAAACAAATATCTCAAGGGTGACACAGGAGTTCATTTACACACGCAGGTGCCAATTAAGCAGCAGTTGAGGCTGGGCTTGCATTAGAACACGAGGAACCCTTTTCCCCACACCTGCAAATGCTCCCCCCATGCCTGGGTAGAGCTGAATACAGCTGCAGAGAGTTACACAAATGAGGAACTGTAGAACCTGGGCTGTTGATCTTTAGTGTTGGCAGATGTTCCCAAAGTACCCCTGCTTATATGCTCAGAAATAGACTTAAATCCATTTCATTCACATCCACAATTCAAAATTACCCCCACCCCCAAAGAAGAAAATGAAATTGTAGCAGCAGGCTGCAGCTTCTGCTTTCACCTGCTCTCTAACCTGGCTTTTCACACCCAAATCTGCTGTCAGCACAAGTGTCATGACCTGGAATCAAAGATGCTTTTTAAACCTCTGATTACATGGCCTACTTTCTGGCAATGGAAATGAGGCCAGGTGGATGCTATTTTAAAAGCCTTCTAAAGACCATGGCTAAAATAGCTGACAACATTACTGGACCACTGGGTCTTAAAGGGTTTCACAGGGCCTCTGTGTCTAAGAGAAGTGCTGACTTTATCTCTGTGTTTTGCATTTCATTTGTTTCATTTACTAACAGGACTTTAAGAATCCTAACAGTGTCGTGCCCCTCCCCTTATCATCCCCAGGCAATTCCTCTCTCGATGTTTGTGTGGAATCTCTAGCCTTTTTAACAGACCAGTCTGTCACTAACACCACACCCTGCCTTTCCTCCATCATCCTACACTGAAGAAGCTACAAGCAATATCCAAGTACCCCTAAAACCACAGCAAATTGAGGAGAGATGCTGAAGGAGAACAATGACAGCAGGACTCTCATGGAACTGTCCCCTGCAGCAGCTACACTTGAAGCATAAGGTCTCGGTTTGTTTAGTACCAGTACAACTCTTTTCCTTAAATTGTTTCTCAACTCTGTTGCTCTCTCCTTCAGGACATATTCCTGTTTCCAAGTGCCTGCCCACACCAGAGCTGAAGCATTAGCTGGGTTTTACCTCCTAAATACAAGTAATGCTTCCTATTAAAAGATTTGCTGGACTAGTTCACAAGACTGCCACGGAGCATTTGATCTGCTGCAGAGCTAAATCTGCCAGCAACCTCTGAAGCTGACAAAGTAGGTGTAAGGTATCATCCCTCTCTTTATGCAGTTTTAACAAATGTATTGATCAAATCTAGAATTAATAGAAATATTTATGTGCTGGGATGGGGAAAAAAAATCAAGTTTTCTACTACCCAGGTTCATAACTAAGCCCTTGCAGAATCACACCTTTCCCTGATTCTGCAATGAGCCCAGATGACCTTGTGTTCATCCTGGCTGAAATGGATCAAATTAAATGAGATTTAAAGATTTGTGCTTTTATGCTCTAATAGTTTTAGGGGTAGCAGATTGGGCTGAGTGTATAATGTGCACTTTCTTTCTGATGATGCATCTTTTAGAAGTGTGGAAAGAGAAAGTCTAGCAAATCCAAATTCTACTAGTCAAATTGTATAAGTGGCTTCCTGACCTGAGGGGGAAAAATGGTGTGGTGGCTAACACCAGAGAAAGACCATTATGGGTATGGTTGCAGGTCACTGATTTTACTATGAAGTCTTAGTAAATATGCCTGAATCCAGTTTTCTTATACCAGCCTGAGCTATGACACAGTATTTATTCCGGGGCCACAAAATGTTTAATTTTCCAGGCTTGGTTTTCCGTGGAGTTCGTGGAGGCTGTCCCCGAGGAAGCTAAAGAAAGTAGCTTACCTCCTTGCCAGCTTCGCTGCATCTGCTGCAGCACTTCCATTGACTAGAAGGGACACGTTAGATATCGCACCGGCCAGGAAACAGTCCACGATGCCTTGGTTTCTCCGAGGACAATAGCCAAAGTCATCTCCAGTTACTATTAGCTTCACCTGAAGCATCCTTAGATGTCATCCCTAGCAAAAAAAGTAAAGGAGGTTAAATCGGAACACTCGGCAGTCCGCAGATCACAGGCAAACAGGAAAAGACAAGCTCACCGGGGGCGAACCCGATGGTGACTCAGCCCCTGACTAACTCCTCCGGCTCCACCTCATCCCGCCGCTGGCTCGCAGCGCAGGGGCCGGATCTGCGTGTGGCTGCTGGGCTCACAGCAGCCCTGCCCTCGCCTGAGGAAGGAAAGCCTTGCCTGCACTTTGTACCGCCGGGGATTAGGAGCAGGCGAGAGGTCAGGGACTCGGTGGAATGATTTTATCGACCGAGGGCGCGTCAGGGGTTCAAATTCTGTTCCTCGGGCACACCCCCGCCCGCGGTGCGCAGTGAAATGGCCACGGGTGCGGATCACCTGAGGCCACCCCGCAGCCGTGACGTCATCGCCGTTACCGATCCCCGGCTGCGGACCGTGTCCCCGGAGAGCAGAGCGGCCTCCGGCGGCCCAGGCTCTCCCTCCCACAGCGGCAGGGGCACCGAGCTCCGCCGGCCCCCTCCCGCCCCCGGGGCGGCGCGTACCTCCGCTGCAGCCCGGTCCCGGTCCCAGGGCCGCCGCCAGCTGTGCCCGCCCGCCCCGCCGCGCATCCCCGCGGCAGCCCCAACCCGGAGCTCCCTCGCGGAGAGGCGAGAGCAGGGCGGCCCCGCCGCAGCGCCGGCGCCTCCGAGCGCGCCGAGCACCGGGGTCTGCCCTGCTGGCGGCCTCTGGCGGCGACGGCACGGTACGGCACAGCTGCAGTCGGGCTGCCGCAGGACCCGTACCGGGGTGCTCTGGCGCAGGGCCGGGGGTTGGCCCCGTGCCGCTCTCTGTGCCGCCGGCCCTTCTGGCAGCGCAGGGATCGGGCGTCTCTCCCCACAGAATGCGTCAGGTTAGAAGGGACCAGAGTGGGTCATCTGGTCCAACCTCCCCACTTAAGCAGGGTCATCCCAGACCACATGGCACACGATTGCATCCAGATGGTTCTTGAGTATCTCCAGAGAGGAAGACTCCGCACCCTCTCAGGCCAACCTGTTCCAGTGTGTGATCATTCACACAGTAAAGAAGTTCTTCCTCATATTCAGGTGGAACTTCCTGTGCATCAGTTTCTGCCCTTTGCCTCGTCCTACTGACTGGCACCACTGAGCAGAGCCTGGTTCCATCTTTTTGGTATCCTCCGTTAGATACTCACATACGTTGACGAGGACCCCTCTCAGTTGTCTGTTCTTGAGTCTGAACAGGCCCAACTCTCTCAGCCTTTCCTTGTAAGAGAACTATTTCAATCCCTTAATCATCTTTGTTGCCCTCCACTGGCCCCCTCCAGAAGCTCCATGTCTCTCTTGTACAAGACACTCCTGAGGTGGGACCTGCCTGCAGCTGTGGGTGGGATAAGCAGTTCAGTTTGTGCTCTGTGGTGGCTTCAGTGCAAAATTGATCATCCCAATGAGGCCATGAATATATAATCCTGCCATCCATGACTCTCATAGTAGCCACTTGCTTGTTTTTCCCCACCTTGATTTGCTGGCAGTGTGTACTCAGTCTGAGTTTAGAGCCACAGGTCAGCAAACCCTGGCCAGAAGGTGCCACAGTTCTTGGTGCTGGGCTGGGGAAGGGCAGGGAGAACAGAAAAGTTTCACAAAGGGCAGCTTCTAAGATGCTGTCGTTCAGTCTGGATGTCAGCCAGTTCTCCATCAGTCTGCATGTAAAATCCTGTTTGTCCTGGCATTGAACTGCTGCTTTTTCTTACTGCAGAAAGCTATTCTGGATCTACCAAAATGAAAGTGAAAGCGCTGAGTACTCAGCTTAGAAATGGTGAGTGGGAGATACTAACAGCCTGTGTTTTTCACCTGTGGAAGAAGATGAAGTTCTACCAAAGCCAAACAAGCCCCTTTTTGGTTTGCAATGTTTTCCCAAAATATTCACCTGCTTCTGATATTGCAGGAGAAACAACAAACTCATGCTTGGGGCAGGGAGTGTGATAGGTCAGAAAGTGCCATGGTAACATGTCCATGGATCCGGGGTCGCTGTCCTGGTGGTTGCTGCTAACCTGTTCCAGGAAGCAGGGATCACACTGGGACTGGGACTCTTGCATGGCTCATGGTGATACCCATGTCTGAATCTGTGCCAGTATGGAGGTAAAAGAAGAAACAGCTGTTAAGCGCAAGCACAGGCTTCTTGGAAGAGCAGCTGGGGTGAAAGAGGTTGGAAAAAGCTTCAAGGGTTGTTTCTGTGGACTGACCATCCTGCTGCTTAATTCATAGATAAGGCAAAGTTATTCGGGTTACTTACTCTGGGCAGTCCTTGCATAAAGAAACCAAAGCCTCCAAGTGTCCCCTCTTTCAGCAGAATTCAACTCCTAAAAGGCAGACAACATATCCACACTCCAAAGTCAGAGATATGATGTGCAGGCACAACCAGAGACTGGCTGTCCTCAGCAAAGGAAGAACCATCAGTTTGGAGACAAACAAGCACAATTCAACAGGGGGAATTCCACTCTTTTCACACCTGTAGCTGAGGTATGAAAGATCTGTATGTGGGGGCACGAACACCTGCATAGCTAGTGGTTTTCCAGGTGTGTTTCCTCACAAGGAATTTGGAATCAGTGAATTGAGGTAGGTTGAACCCAGTTGATCTTTAGGCTCTCATCAACTGCACACCACATAGCATACTGCTACAGCACTTTGGGAGGGAAATGCCTCTGCCTCCCACCTCAGAGTGCTCTGCAGCAGAAAAAAAGTGTTTCCATTAGCCTGAGGGCATTTTGAGGGGCAGCTAAGATTTGGATGATTATTTGTAAGCATATTTTGAAACTCTGAAGGAGAAAAACAAAAGCAGAACGAATGGTAGCAATGTTATTCACGGAAGAATTTGTTTCCTAGGCTGTGCTCTCTGTAGACCATGAAATGGGAAGCACTGGGAGGCTGGGAGCACGGGAGACTTCTGCTGCATCTAGGGTGGGCATCATCTGTTTGTCACTTTCTTACTTTTTCTTGCTCTTCCTTGATGTGTAAACAAACACTGACTACTGGAAATGATGGTGAGAGCTGGAGACAGCTTTCTGCCTCTTCAGTGACCCTTTCTCATAGAAAAAAATTATATGGAATTAAATTCCAAATAGATAATGCAAAAATACTGTAGAAAATTTGCTAAATGTTCATTCTGGCAATTCCTGTGAGCATTTCCATCATTTAATAGGTGTATGGCTCTGTTACAGAAAAGGTTTTGATGCTGCGTGAAGGTTTCCAGTGCCCTTGGCACTTCAGATAGGATATTTGTGCAACTGCTACTTGCTTCCTCTTCTGGGAGACAAATATCACAGCCTGCCCACATTCCCCAAGAGGCTTCATTTACTGATGAGCACTGTTACCATAACAGATGAAGTCAGCAAAACTCTGAAGTTATGTCTTCAATCAAATATAAGTACCTCCTGCCTTTGCAGATGCAAACTCTGGGGTTTTCTACCTCTTTCTAGTACTGCCAGTGCTCCCTGCCCCTGCACAGGTGAGAGGCACTACATAAGAATCTTAGACAAAGCTTGGCTTCTCAGCCTTCTTAACCTTAGTATGTGTTTAATGCTATTAATGGTAACATCCTTCTTAAATATTTAATGCAGTTCCTGGAGGCTTTTCTTTTCTGATTTCATTCCTCTTTATTCAGCTGTCCCTCCAGTGACTGGAAGCAAACACTCCCCAGCAAGCAAATCTTGCCCCTGTGCCATTGCCCCTTAGATGCCAGCACAGCACTTCCTCTGCAGCCTATGTACCCCAGCTACTGCCAAAACAGCCCTTGCAGCTGACTGCCACATAGTCCACTAAAAAGTCTCTTACAAATTCAACCTGGAGCTGGAAGGCAAGGCAGACTTCCTCTGGCTGTTCTCTCCTCTGCAATGAAGACAGGAATATTGGCCAGCATTTCCAGTGGAGCTGCATAAGCCAGGACATGTACTAAGCATAGGCTGCATCTTCCAGCCTAACTTAAACAAAGCACAGCCTTGCCTCATCTCAGTCAGAGAAGCCAGCAGGAGCTCTCTCTCCTCAAGTGCTTCACTGCTTTTAAGCTTGAATTTCTTTCCCTGAACTTGGAGTTATTCAGTAGCAAATTTAGAGGTTTCCTGTATTTTACAAAAGCATTCCCCAACAATTACAGCTTCCAACAAGCTGTCTGTTTACATAAAGAATGTGTTTTCTTTTTGTTATTACCTTGACTGCAGCGAATTAGTTCATTTGGGACTTCAGTGGTAGCATAGTAGGACTTGGTTTGCTTTTTCCTTGCATGAAATTTTGTTGAAAGTGTGAACTGTAAAAGGCGTTTGAATGAGACAAAGTAAAATTCACTTTTAAAATGAAAGAATATAAACATTTTTCTTCTTTTCCCTAGCCTCAGAGATTTACAAAATCTTTGAAGTTCAGTGGCTTCTATAGAAATGCTTAAATTAAAGCTTTCTCATCCCTCCACTGAGGCCGGTTTTCAGATGAAACAAGACACTTGTGTTCTTGCTGTCAGTGCCCATCTCAGTCTCCTCTTGGTAGCAGTGGCATCCCTTGGCCAATTCCAACTCCTCTGCAGCAGAGGCAGAGATCCTGCAACAGGCCATTGCATTCCCTAAAATGATCAGGTACAAAACTAACTGGTCAGTTGGCCAGGGCAGGAGATGGAGGGCACTGTGGTGAGGTGTAGGGCTGAAAGGAGAAGAAAAGGAGTGGACTTTAGCAGAGAGTGAGGTAAGTGAAGCACGGAGTGCTGTAGGGGCATGTGTCCATTAGGTGTGGTTTCCAGCCTCTGAGCTGAGCCACCCTGAACTGAAGTGACGAAACGTAACTGTGAGGAGAGCTGGGCTGCAGTGCGCAGATTTCCTAAAATGCACAGATGTGAGGAGCCTTGGGTGAGAAAAAGTGATTCTTCCCCTGTACTCGGCACTGGTGAGGCCACAGCTTAAATCCTGTGTCCAGTTCTGAGCCCCTCAGTTCAGGAAAGACATTGAGGTGGTGGAGTGAGTCCAAAGAAGGGCAACAGAGCTAGGGAAGGGTCTGGAGCACAGGTGTTATGAGGAAAGGCTGAGGGAGCTGGGGGGCTCAGCCTGGAGAAAAGGAGGCTCAGGGGTGATGTTGTCCCCTCTACAACTACCTCAAAGGAGGTAGTTGTAGCCAGGTTGGGGTTGGCCTCTTCTCCCAGGCAACCAGAGACAAGACAAGAGGACAGAGTCTCAAGCTGTGCCAGGTGAGGTTTAGGTTGGACATTATGAAGAATTCTTCACAGAAAGGGTCATTAGACATTGGAATGGACTGCCCAGAAACTTGGTGGAGTCACCATCCCTGGAGGTTTTTAAGGAAAGACTGGACGTGGCACTTAGTGCCATGGTCTAGTTCACATGGTGGTGTTCAGTCATTGGTTGGACTCGGTGATCTCAGATGTCTTTTCCAGCCTAATTGATTCTGTGATGCTGTGAAAGCAGATTTCCTCAGTCTTACAGGGGCCAGATGGGTACCTGTGTGCCATTTTGTGCCAAGAGAGAGTCCCCCCAGCACAGCTGGTACAGATGAGCCCAGAGAAGAGAAGCACATTCCCTTTCCCCCTCCAACTGTGCAGTCTAGGAGTTCACAGTGTCAGGGCATGCCAGGTGGATTGACAGCCCAAGCTCTCAAAGGGAAGAGGATGTAGGTTCTGCCCAAAGTCACTCTGCTGAACCCTGGGAGACGAAAGCAGCAAAGAGCATTGCACTGAATTGATTCAAGGCTAATTGTACAATGCTGAATAAACGCACCAAAAATCTTGTGGTTAGTCACCTTACTCGTGACTTGGAATCCACTGCATATATGGGCTTCCTCTATCTTGCATCCACGAGGGTTGAAATCCCCAAATTCTGGGGTACATCTGCTAAGATTGTAGCTAAGGCTTCCCTCATACTACGTAGCACAGCCAGGCAGTATCTGTCACCTTTCCTTGCCTGTGTCTGAAATACCTGATTTTACACCAGCACAAAATAATGCCAATACCTCAGAAGGTGTGTGGTCCTACCAAGGTGGCTGAAAGTGAAAGGCAAAATTTGCCATCGTGATCTTATTATTAACTAACTTGACACTTGGCATTAACTATGGATGGCTGTTAAAAGTACCAAACTCAAACCTCTCCTGATGCAGACAGCAGGTCCCTGGTCTATGTATTGCTTATGGCTGGTGAATTTTAATCCACTTTTCCATTTTCAGAGGGTTATTTTCTCTCTGCTGCATTTCCTTCAGTGTCTAATGTGCAGTAAAAATTAATATTTGAATATGAACTAAGCTACAGCATCTGTGATTTCTGACTGGGGTTGAGATGATGTAAAGCCTGCACATTCCTATTCCAGATGCCTCTTTGCCTGATGTTGAGGTCTATTAAATATACAGACATCTGGTCAAAAAAGAGTTGGGACAGGGAACCCTTCTACTAGATAATTAAATGATGGGTCCAAAATAGGTACTGTTTAACTGTGTGCATTAATAGCTTAACCTTCACTATCTGATTCCATTTCCTGTTTGATTGCATTGAAACTCAGGACTTCAGTTTGCCCTCTCTGAAAGTTATTATACTATCTGGAGTTCATTTCTTGGTATTTATGATAAAGGTTCCTAGAGGAAATTATCTCTAGGCAGAATAACACTTTTATTGAGGTCAGAAAGGGGCAGGTTATATAAAAGATGCATAGACGTTCAGTGGAATTTTCAGAATTACATTAATATTTACCTAAGATTGAAACATATGTCTAGAGGTTTTTCAAATCCCATAAAGAACTAAATTATTGCAAAAGCTGCCTGGTGTAACACACATTGCATTTCTACATTCTGATTCTGAAATGGAAAGTTAGCAATCAAAACCACAGTTCCAATCCATGCCTACAAATTCTAAATAAATTCCTCAGCTTCAATTTACACTGTCTAAAGCAAAGCAGAGTTAAGCCTGAAATTGGTTTTCACAAATGTTGATCAAGAGCCATTAAAATGAATTAAAGATACCAGAGGCAGGTCCTCATGTTAAGGAAAAAAAAGAAGAAAACCCTATATTTTATATATAAAGTATTAATGAATAAAATTTCTTATCATTTCTTGGTGTGTTTTGTTTTGTTTTTTGGTATGGTTTGGGTTGGGGTTTTTTCCAGTGGCTTGAAATAGTTTATGCAACCTCTACTTCTAAGCACTCTCCTTCCTAAAGGGATGGAGTGATGAAGGAAAAAAAATTAAGTTAGGAGCATTCAGGCTTCTCAAAAGTCATGAGGAGGTTGTTGAATGTCCTGTTGAAATTGCAGTCAGACACACTTTTATCTGTGAAAAAATACTTTCAGATTATCTTTGGTTTATGTTTGTTCCTGTTACAAAGGTACACCTCAAGATGATATTTGGCTTCAATGGCAATGGCATGAGACCATCAGCATAAATGAATAGGGCTGAAGTAAGAAAATCTGAAGAGTTCTTACAAATATCAAAAGTTTACATCAGAAGTGGGAGACAAAAAGATTTTTGCCTAATCAGAAAATGAGTATCAGCAAAGTAGAATTAATCAAGAAACCCATTCGCCAAAATATCTCTGCCAGAAAACAGAGCTAATGTCTCCAAAAGTCCCTAAAAGTCTACCATGAGAGCAGAGGACTCAGTGAAGCAGGCTACTTTAAGAGAAACAACCTCTAAAAAGTCTAGTAGTACAAATGATAGCCAGGGAGAAGTATCTATTTGATCAGACAACATGGAAGAAGAGGTGGCTGTAGGAGCATGAGTATTCCTTGTCATCTCAAAAGAGTTCCTTCTCCAGAAAAGCTAGAGCTACCAATGAAAACATTGGGAATGCCTCAGCAATGTAACACGTAAATTAATCTGGAAGATCACTTACAGGGACTGTTGTTGTCTCCCGGCATCACTGAAAGCACCTGGAAAACCTCAGCTGATTGAATGGAAATGCACATTAATTTCTTTGGAGTTCTGAGGGAAGATCCCGCGTTCTTGAAGCACCAATCTGGTTCGTTGAGAGATGGTGACAACATTACTGGACACAGATTGCCAGGACTCTGCAGAACTTCCAAGGAAATCTTCTCTACCTCAAAGACTAGAAACAAAAGACAGAGATTAAAAAATCCTCAACACTATTCCCCCAGATGAAAAAATCTTCCATTTAAACATGTATATATGTATATGTTAATACTTTTTTCTTTTTTTTTTTGTCAAAAATCTTCTGTTTATTTACTTACTCTGCTTGTTCTTACATTATGTTTATATCTACTGAATGCAAAAATCTGAACAAGTTATTTTGGATATCTAGTCCTTAAACAACTTAGGCTGAGTGATAAGGAACTGTAATTCTATAAATTTCTGGCAAGCAATTTTTTTATTTACTGTTCACTATTTGTATCAGGCTTAGGGGTCACAGTTAAAAGAGCTCTGTTGTAAGGTATTCCAGTGGAGATGAATGTTTGATCTGAAGTGAGGTTTACAAACAGCTATTCATCAGTGTAGGGTGAAAGAAGGAGACAGAAAAAAACACAGAATGTTTACAGACCTGGTTCTCTACTGTTACTGCCTTGAGTTCAGTACAGTTCATCCTTATTGATATCAGAGAAAGGACCAGATGCAGAGAAAAATCAGTGGAAGAGCTCGTGTGGATTTGCCTTTATATCAAGCACTAATGTCTTCAGAATTGTGCCCTGTCTTTTTTGCCTAAGGTTCACGTCAGTCTGAGAAATAATCCAGGTGTTACTGCAATGTTTTCTGTAAATCAAAGGCTATCTTTACCAATAGATGCACCAGTGCTTTTTGGGGTGTAGATCAAGCCCAGGAGCTGCCAGCTCTGCTATCTTAGTTGTCAGTCACTGTTTTTGTCATGCAAAGCAAACAGAAAGTTTAAAGCATCTTTAACAAAGGCCAATATAAAAAGGAAACCCTTTTTTCTATAATCTGTTGCATTGGGGCAGCATACTCTGAAATTTTCTTGCGACACAGATTTTTCATTCCTGTACGCTAAAAGCATTTGGCACTACCAAATCCTGTTTTTCAGGGAGGGCTGTGTTATACCTACAGCTGCACCTGACTAGAAATGGCAGGCATTTTTAAAATCCTTGAAAATCAAATGTGCATAAGGACTGCAGAGTTAAGTGACTGAAGGCAGAAAGTTTTCTAGTTACATTTCACATTCTCCCCTTTTACAGTACTGTTGAATTATTTTGTTCATAACGAGATTCCTACCAAAAAAGCTGATATTTCCATGACCGGTGTGCAGTCACATAATTTCTGAGGCAATTTTACCTGTATCTTACAGCAATCTACTGGAAACAATAGTGGACCCTGTCACAATGGGTGGTTGTTAGTTGCCCTGGGTGTTTGGCATTGATGGGTTCTTTGTTGGCAACCATTCTAACCCAATTACGTTTCTAAAGTAGGACTGAAAAGCGTTGTAGGGAGCACCATGTAAATGGCATTAAATGCACTGAGACTGAGCGACCTCCCAGAAAGACAGACAGGTGCCAGCTAAAGCCCCATATGATTGATTTTCCATGGCTAAAATGGCAACCACAGACATCTGGGTTTGCCTCACTTAAAACAACAGCAGCAAATGTGAGCCGTTGTCTTGGAACAGCAAGGCCACTTAAAATGACATAAAAATATGGTATTTGACTATCAATAGGGGATCTTTTGCTTTTCTGTGAGTAAACCTTTATACTTCCAGCACCAGGAAATGAGTTTTCAGTCCTGAGAAAAGCACAGTGTGCCTATGTCTCTGTGTGTGTGTGCATACACACGTGCACGTGACAGAGTTTAGTACTAGGGCTTATTTTAAAGCAGACCTGGCATTTAAGTCAGAGATTTTTCTTAGATGTAGGTATAGCTAAAAAAACGGTCCAAAGCCACATAAAGAAAACTAACCATTCGATTGAGTGGTATCACATGAGTTGGAAAAAGCCTTGCAGCTCCAAGACTGGTGGAAGAGGGAGAGAGTCAGCTGAGCATCTTATGACGTTTGCACTAGCCAGCAACACTAATGTGTTTTCTAAATCATCCTGCAATAGAAAGTGCAGTGTTTCAATTCTTTGATGTTGCAGGCACATAATACCACTTCTACCAAGACTTAAGTCCCAAGGCAGGTGCCCGTCTACCTGTTTCCCTGCCACTAAGAAGATCCAAATCTTTTGCTCTGTCAAATTACTTTGTATTCCTCAGAGTGTTACCCAGGACTCACAGCAGGCTCTGATGTGATACATAGGTCAATCCAATGAGCAGTTTCAGAGGCAAAAGTTAACAAACTGTAGAAGTTCATGTGTCCTTTGTCCATGGCTGCTTCCTATTCAGATTTTTTTTTTGGAGGGGGATGTTATTCAGTTTGCAAAACTATGCAATGAAGGACAGTGTGTATGTTGATTTATGCAGGTGTTTTTTCTACAGAACAGAGTTTAGTAATCTCTTTGTTAGAAGAACTCCACAAGAGACTGAAGCACAGAAGGTGAACTTCAGGATCCAAAAGCAAAGATGTTATTGCTACAACTTAATGTTACAGCAACCAATATTAGTTCTTCTTTGTGTAGTGTTTATGGCCTATCATCAGAACCTCAAATACAATCCAGGAATTACTGGATCAGTGATGTATTATCATGCAAGTCAATTCACAAACACGAATTCCCTTTGTTCTTCAACACTATCTTACTTTTCTTTGCAAACCCCCCAAATGGGTAGATATTTACTCAACTTTAAGAGCAGAAACTGCAGGGAGGAGCAGTCCTAAATGTGCCACCTACCAGCTCTGAGCTAAAAGTGGCTTGAACGCAGTAAGAGGCTGATTGACCTCTTAGTGCCACCTCTGGCTGCCCGAGGCTATGTCTAAACCATTACCTGTACTTGGGCTGGTGACCCCCGAGCAGCTTTGTGCCTGACAGTGCTCTCGCTGAGGACGTTTTTCCTTCTCCTGGCTCTGATGGTAATTGGACAGTCCTCCTTGCAGCACGTTTTCCCGCAAGGCCTTTGAGCAACCAGTCAGTGTGACCTGGCTATAATTTTTCATATAGCCCGGATTGGACAGCAGCAACAGACCTGGCCTCTCCTCGACATTCTCGGCAAGGGCAAACTCACAGTGAGATCAGCACAGCCGTGTCAGCGCTGCCTCGGCGGTAACACCGCTGCGGGCCGCCCGTCCCGGGGGGACTCTGAGGGAGCAGCGCCCGCGGTTCTCCTTCGCGTCCTCCCTCGGGAGCCGCCACGCCGCGGGCTCTCATTGGCCGCTTTTCCCCGTGCCCGTTCGCCGTAGCCCAATCCGAGAGCGCGGCGGAGCGGGAAACAGGCGAGGATTGGCTGGTCGTGGCGGTGGGCGGGGTGATCGCCGGGCCCGCGCGGGCGTGCGGAAGCGCCGCTCTGAGGGGGTGGCGGTGGAGGGACCGGCCGGGCCGAGGGGCGAGAGCGCCTGGACCGGCCGGGCCGAAGGGGTGGCGGTTTCGGTGCCAGCTAGGCTGAGGGCGCGATGCGGGGCGGTCGCCATCTCTTTCCGCTGGTGCTCCTGGCGCTGCTGCGCGGGCTGTGCCACGGCAGGGAGCCGTCGCCGGGCGCCGTGACCTGCGGCTCGGTGCTGAAGCTGCTCAACACCCGCCACAGCGTGCGGCTCCACTCGCATGAGGTCAAGTATGGCTCCGGTGAGCAGGGCCGGGCCGGGGGGGCCAGGAGGTGTCGGGAGCTGGGAGGTGTTGGGGGCACAGGCTGTGAGGGGGCCGGGAAAATGGCGGGGGGCAAGGAGGTGTCTGTGAGGGGGCAAGACGGCATCTGTGAGGGGGACAAGGAAGTGTTTGTTAAGGGGCAAGGAAGTGAAGGAGACAGGCAGTGCCTGGCAGGGGGTTGGCAGGGAAATTGCGGGGGGTGGGCAGTGAGGGTATCAGGGAAGGAGAAGGAGGTGAGAGCTTCCAGAGGTTCATGTCCTTGGTGCAGGGGGAAGCAGCAGGCCAGGGATGGGGTGTTGGGGTGCGCTGGAGACCTGTCAGGGACAGCAGGATTCCGAGGCCCGGGGTGTGGGACGTGTCAGCTGCGCTGTGTGTGCCCTGCAGTCGGAATGTGACGGGGGTGCTTTGCCCCCATCCCTGAGGGGAGCCCTGCTCTGTGTCAAGAGCCTCAGCAGGACCTTGCAGTGTCTGTTTAGGCAACAAGGGTGCTGGTCTGTTTGGGGACACAAAGAACTTGGTATTTTTTTGAGAAAGGCAGGATAGTGTGAATAGTGTCCGCCATGAATCACATTTTCTTCTCTTGTGTTCACCATGAACTTTGACAGTTTGCATCTGCTAACATATGGTGTGTTCAACTTCCTGAATCTGAAAGATTATTTGCTACCTGCATTCCCTTTGCAGTCAGTAAATGGACTATGAGAATTAAACATTTCTTAAACATGAAGGCATGAGAACATTAAAGAAAATTTCTTTAGTTCTTTCAGGACTTTTTGAACTGGGGAAGCAGGTTAAGTCTCCTGCCATTTAATTTTACTCCAACAGGAAGTGGGCAGCAGTCAGTGACAGGAGTTGAAGCTTCAGATGATGCCAACAGTTACTGGCGGATCCGTGGGAAGAGTGATGGCAGTTGCCAGCGTGGTACACCGGTGAAATGTGGGCAAGCGATACGACTGACCCACGTTAACACAGGGAAAAACCTGCACACTCATCACTTCCCATCACCACTGTCCAATAACCAAGTGAGTTGTAAATTTTTACGTTTTTGTGAATAGTGCAATGTATTGACAACAGTTTCTCCGGTTCCTCATGTTTTTGGAGAACCAGCCTTGGGTGCCAACTGCCAGAAGCAGTATGTCTGTGCATATCCAGAGTTTGAGTACATGTTTTTCTTCATCTTGAAATAATGTATATCAGTTCTTCAGGTAAAATTTAATATGTACCAATATTGGTATTTCGCCGTAGTTTTAACAAATCTGCTTTTTTTTCTTTTTTTTTCCTTTTTTTTTTTTTTAAATTCTGCACCATTGCTGCTGGGACTGTTCTGAAGTGTTTAATGGGCATCTCCCTTAACACAGTGAAGATTGCTGTAGAGCAAGGCAGCTAATCATGTATTATAACACTAGGCATTCCTGTATCCAAGTTCCTTGGTGATCCAATCTAGTAGTCTCAGCCATCTTCTTGCTAGCCCTATTTCAATTCACTATTCTTATTTATCTGTCCTCCTTCCACAGGAAAATTGAATCTACTCTCATAATCCTATCTATTTATAATTTTGTACATGTCTAGAAGAGTGTAATTTCTAACCGTCATTAAGTCCCAGTCTTGTCCTTGAATAAATGCTTCTCTAAGATTGAAAATCTCTCTTAAAATAAATAATGCAAGCTTGTTAGAAGTTTGTCATTGTTAGTCACTTCAGTCTTCCATCAGGCTTTGTAGATAGGTCATTACATTCAAAATTGGAAGACCTGACTCTTTGTGAAAAAGGTTTATCTTTCACCATGAGTAAAGTGGCTGAAACAATAAGGTCCAGCTTTGTGTAGGGTGTCTAGATAATCTCGTTATTAAAAGAAGTGATGGAAAAATAGCATTTCAGAAGAATTCTTTGAAGAAAAGATTGAATCTAAAACCTTCCCCTAGTTGTCCTTTGTCATTGTAGACACTTTGTATAACATTGTCAGTAATGTAAAAACGTTCGGCAACTGTCATTGTGTTTCTTTTTTTTTTTATATATGTGTTTGCACAATGTCTGAGTGAAAGGAAAGCTTGCCTGAGTCCCTCAGAGATTTATAGGACTGTGACTTGTTATTGGTCATTGACGTTATTGACATATGATGCAGTTATAAATGCAAACTTTTATTTCATATTCTTTACAGAAGTTGGATTTTCAATTAGTACATTATCTTTCACACTTTTGGGGCTACGTAAACTTGAATTAACATGACCTTAAAATTTTAGGTTGCTGGGTACAAACTGTTGCCATCCTGTTTTCAAGTTGTTCATCACTTCTAGTTCTCAGAGTTTTTAAGAATTAAAGGCTGTTTAGAGTTTCAAACAGTTGGAGCTTAGTCTGTCTGGTTTCTGTAAATGCTTGGTTTTGTTTTTATATGGTGCATAATGATATCTAATCTCTCACTTTCGTTTTAGCAGCAATTCATTTGTCTTAATCATTGTCTTTATTTATTTTAAAGAGCTGTGTAGCAGTCTGTCTGAAGAAAGAGTTGGGTCACCTTGATAGTTGGTGACCGAACTGTAAGCTTGGTATAATTAAGTATAAAGGGAATATGATACTTAATGAGCTAAATTGTTGGGATGTTGTGATAAAAACACATGCTGAGAAAGCTGTTGCAATGGTAACTGTGAAGACAGTTATACTACAAAGCAAAATGTCTACAGTTACAAACTTAATTTTGTGGGGAAAAAATTTGTATCAGCATTAGAGTTGTTTCTTTTGAATTTTTTTTCTCATGAGGATTATTCTGATCTCTCTGTGCTAAATCCTCTTTTATTTCATTTGTGTGTTAGGATTCGTCGGCACTTTTTGCTCAGATTACACGGTGAAGTTTGTTGGCAATTTGTGATCAGATTGTAATGGTAGAAACTTCTGTTTCTGGATTTGATAACTGTTGGCAAAGCAAAGCAACAGCACTTTTTCTTTCCCCATCCTTGTCTTTAAACTCTGCTGACTTTGTGGTTGGTATTTGTGTGTATTGGAGGTGTCTGCTTACATTTTCACTCCAGGGAGTTTGTGTCTCTAACAGGAAGTAAGTGCCTTTGGTGATGATGGCGAAGGAGATGACCTGGATATCTGGATTGTGCAGTGCAGTGGGACTTACTGGGAGCGGGATGACGCCGTGCGCTTCAAGCACGTGGGGACCGAGGTGTTCCTGTCGATAACAGGAGAACAGTACGGCCACCCCATTAGAGGCCAGCGGGAAGTCCATGGCATGCCTGCTGCTAATCATCACAACTATTGGAAAGCAATGGAGGGAGTCTTCATCAAACCCAGTATGGACCCTGCAAAACATGATGAGCTCTGAATTGACAGAGGATCCAAAAGGCTTTAGCTGACTTCAGAGTTCAGAGATGCTAATCCTTGGTCTCTTCTAAGTCCTGCCTTGCCCGGGTGACTGACTTTCTGTGTTACTGAAGGGCATTAGTTCATTCTAGGAATGCAGCACTTCTGTGGGGAATGGCTTCTGCCAGGTTCAGCCACTGACATTTATTTAGTGAAATCCTTTCTGAATTTTCAAGCTTATTGGTGGAACTAGTTCATACATCTGTTAGTTTTTGTTGTCATTTGTTTGCTTGTTACTTTTCTCAAATTCGAAGGAAATGGTAAAATAGAAGTAATAGCTTTCTGTAGTCCCAAGTACAATAGAACTTTGTATTTTGTAATCTTTTTCCAACCATAATTAAATATTTGGAAACCAATTTCTACTTCTTAGTGAAAGAATGTCATTGATGAGGAGATGGATTGAGTCTAGAAATGGAAAAATGGTTCTCAAAATGGTGTTTTTTGAATGGCTTGAAGTCAGTTATCAAGCCTTTGAGTAAACAAAAGTATCCATTTGAAAATAGCTTCCAGTGTGCTTCCTGAGTTTCATTCTGTACTGTATTTGAAGAGTTGAAAATATTGTGTATGTTGGAACAAGAAGACAAAATTTTAATATATTTACTTTGTCCAAGAAGCTCAGATGATCTGATAATGGTGGTACTGCTAATTGACCATTGGTAAGGCTGATCTGCTCTGTGAACTGGTGCAGAAAGCAGCTGCTTGTCTAATTAATATTAGAATTTTATAAAATTCCTTATGCTACGAAGGAACAGTTGAATTTGGCTTATGTTGTACTTCAGTGTCACTCTGGAAGATCAGTATGAGAATTCAGATGAATAAATAGTGTGGCATATACCCATGTGGGGTTTTTTTTGTGTGAATCCAGAAGAGCAAAAAGAATCTTAGACAATAGTTTGGTCCTGGCTTTTTGACAGAATGGTGTGTGCTGGAGTGCTAGCAGGGAATCTTCATTGAACAAATTAAGAATTTCTGTGTTCCTCTCCCTCTGTGAAAAGAGAAATTAATTCTTGAATGTGTTTGTTACACAGTGTTACTGGAAATACCGATTAAAATTCAAAACACCATACATTTGCTCTTTGCTTTAAACAGAAAAGCTCACCAAATGAGTGAGAAAAGTCAGAAAACTCAGGTGTCCTTGTTTCCATGTGTAAATAGTT